GGTGTCAGCGCCGCGTTTTAATTAGGTCCCTAAATCGACGAGAGAGCGACTTTCGCGACCTCGACCCGCGCCACTCTCTTCTGACGAGGGTGAGTCGAAACAATCGATCCGCCGCCGCGGCCGCCGCCGCGCCGTTCAAGCATCCGCCACCCGTCCTCCGTCCGCCGTACTCGAGCTTGCTACCTCGCATTCCTCGCAACCTCGGCGAGAAATATATATTCCCGCGTAAAATTGCGCTAACGCTGTTATTGTCTCGTGTATTGTCGCTTCTATATACGCTCGACGGTGGCGTCGTTGAATTTTTACATACCATTGTTTCTCGTGGCGGGTTTAAATATTTATTGCCTGTCGTGTAACCGTCGCGGCTACCGAGATATACGTCCTGCCAACCTGCGAGAGTTGCGTTATTATATTATTATGTGACGCCGGGATATATGTTCGACAGCTGACATTTACGTCGGCAGCTCATTCGCGGGCAAATCCTTCATCAAATTCTACATATCGTCAGCGTTTTTCTCCTATCGTCAGTTGCAGTAATTTTTAGCGGATCTGTGAAACAAATATGATAACTAGCTTTTCAAAATGTATATATCCATATATATATCCATCAACGTCTTTCTATTTTAATTGCGTGCGTAATCTCTCGTGTATATTATCAATCGGAAGTTTTCGAGAAAAAGAGTCTGTGATGTTCATCTAATTGCTGTTATCGCGCGCGGAGACGAAAATAGAATTATTATTTGCGCAACTTGATAACGTGATGCATGGCACGAGAGCTCGAAAATTGCGATGCTCGCTCGCTTTGGACAAGGTTCTACGAATTGGATTAATTATCTCCGTCTCTTATCCTGTTTTGTGCCTCTTGAAGCTGCTATCCCCGCAGCTGTTTTAACTGCGACTCTATCAAAACGTCAAAGCGAAATCTTGACGGCGTTATCGGCGACTCAAGGTCAGCATTGGAGTAATTGCCCAAAGTAATCGTGACATTGTGTAAAAAGTCGTCAGATAACATTTGTACGCTGATTTTGGAAATCGCGTTATTAATATACATTGTGTGCAATTAAGAAGAAATTTTTCACCAATTTTTACTTGAATTAATAAATCCGTTCGCTAGTCGTACGTGCCTATCCTTTCAATAAAACTACACGTTTTGCAAGTATAATCTTGTATTGTATCATCATTTTAGAGCGATCTACTTTTGATATATTATTTTTACAGTAATCCATCCAAATTTTATGATAATTATCTTGTATCATTATTTTAGAGCAATCTACTTTTGATATATTATTTTTACAGTAATAATCCATCCAAATTTTATGATAATTACAATCTTAATTGTATTTATTAAAAGTTTAGGATAATTTTTAATGGCCGAAACGCGCGCGTTGTAAAAGAATCACTTACGCTACGTAACGTTTCGCTCGAACTCCTTTAACTTTTATTTCGCGTGTTTTTGATACGCAGATAATATTAATGATATTTATACGGATCGACTAAAAGGGGACACACTGTGTACTGAATGGCATTTCACGTTAGTGTTAATCTGCGTCATCGATGCTATAGCATACTTCAATCAACTGTATAACGCGCGCATCCTCTTCACTTAACAGATAATCAACAAAATAGATATACAATTTCTACAACACTTCCTAGGTTTTCAGGAACCTACCGTTTGTCGTAAACGTCGTATAATCGTAAACATTACCGCCCTCGTGCGTTAAATGTTTCACATATGATTATACGATGTCATTGTGATTTACAATTGTGGAAGATAACATTAATTTAACTTTCTTATCAAGCACCATTCGCAAGTATCAACAAACAATCGGCTTATCTTTAATTTCTCCGGTTTTTATCTCCGCGGATTAATGATCGCGATAGATTGCAAATATTTCATGTACGCGACCGCGTATCCTAAACAGCGTTTTGCGCGTCATATCGCGCCTTTCGCCCTTTCCACCCGTTTCTCGAGCTGTCCCCGTGATATCGTTTGTTAACGTTTATAGCGCGCGCTCCGCTTTCCGACACGAGATACTCGGGAGTTGATCGAATAGGCACTCGGCCAGATACGCAGCGGATACCAGTCGCTACGCCAAAGCGCCGATTGTTTATTGCCGGTGACGTGTCTCCGCGGGGGAAGCGTCGCGCGAGATAAATATTTCGGATGGCGAATTATTAATTCAATGTGTGTTAAACCAATTAGACTGACTTTCGCGGGGACGATTGAGAGATTTATAACCGAAGTCGAGACGAGGAGAGAGATAAATTGACCGCGCCGCGCGATTCCAGAGAGAAGACCTCGGGCGCGCGCAAACAGATCGTGAATCGAATGAAATCACCACCGCCTTAGCCTTGATCTATAACTGTCTTGTACCCGAGAATGCGCCTCGCATAGCGCCCTAACAATGCGCTTGATCCTTTTTAGACGGGGCACATTGTAACGTTATATATTTGTAGCTACATAGATACCTATATCGCATATTTGTCGATTGTCCATCCAACATTGTCCGCACCGCCGGTCTTTTTCTTCGTGACAAAAATATATTTTATCTCCGTGTGACGCGCACGTGGCGCGTGGCGCCAAAGAAGTGATCAGTCAACACTGTGATTTAAAATGAAGGTTTAAATATCTGACCGCGACTCACCAGTGGAAGTTGCCACATGATTATGTATATTTATTTTATAGTCTTTTTCACGGTTTAGTCATAAGTCATAACGAAGAGGTTTATTGGGGGGTTAGGCCGTTATAGCTTTGATCCTGTTATATAAGCTATTCCAGCGCACGAGCAAAAAAGATTAGGGCCATAAATGCACGTGTCAAGATGCCGCGAACGCATGCTTGCTTTCCTCACTTCGATCATTTTATACGTATGCACGGACGAGCAACAGGTCGTTATTTCCAAACACTTGTGATGTAACGCATAATCCAGCAACATTGTACCGAATAAGAGTGTTTGCGAATTGAACGCACGCACTCAGTTTCCACAAATTATAAAGATAGTTATCAAAATTATGTGTTAAATTATATTTATGTGAATTATATAATTTTATGCACCGAACAGATATAATGATAAACGGAACGGATTAATTGCGTTGTACTCTACGTAGTAGATTGATAATATGTCAATTAGTGCGGAGAAAAATATACGTCATTTGTTTTCTTTTGAATATCCGATTGCGCAAGCCTGCAATACGTTCATGAAGTAGTATTTAAGTTACAGCAATCCATCAACATGTCAATCTATCAATGCAGGATTTATCGCTCGAATAATTCGAAGAAATTTTTATTGATCCCTTTTGTAATTTGTAGACTTCCGGAGAGACATACATATCTCGTATGTACATTTAACCTTTAAAACCCGGGAAGTCAATTTTTTGAGTTTAGACTGGTTTCAGTTTTTTTTCTGGAATATTACTTTTTATATATTAGCATATATTAAAAAATGTTTTTTTCTGAAAAATTAAAACATTTACCTGGTTTCTAAAGGTTAAATTACCGCAAAAAAATGGAGAAAATAAAAAACCCCATCCGGTTTAAAAAATTAATATAATTATATATTATATTAAAAAATTCATTTATATATTTATATAATTTTTTATTACTAATATTATAGTTAGGGATAAATATTATCGTGTTTATAGTTGGGGAACAGAAGTCTTAGTTAGGGACTTTGAGAATATGTGGGATTGATAATTATCGATGAATAACAATTATGCTAAATTTATAACTATGATGAATTTAACGATGAATATAGTTCAAGAATATTTATTATGAAATGACAATTTGATAAAACATTTCATGTTTTATGAAATCTCGATGATACTTTTAATTAAATGCTAGAATGACTCATATGATCTCAAGATCGATGATCAAGAGGACCGCATTAATGATACCCTGCAAAATGGATAACCAAATTGGATATAAAGAATTTCTGTTAAATACTGACGTACTCTCAGTAAGAAATAGATCCACGATTGTTTAATCTCATATCTGTACTTTGCTACTTATAAACGATTTAAAAGTAAACATGAAGTCGGCCGTTCTTGCACTTTAATGGTGTCTCATCAATTGAAATTTATATTTGAAATACGTTTAACAAATAATTTTATATATAGCCTTATATATAAAACACATACACTTGTGTGCATGTATTTGTTATGTACATATATATATACATATATACACATGTCGCACGCATCAAAATAGTTCGAAAGTATCAGCGCTATAAATATACACACGTGTAAGATATACACGCGATTGTTTATTGAAGTAGTAGTACATGCATACACATATGTTATTAACTATTATCATGTTTATGCCATGGCCTTATTTCTGTGCATAATTGTGCAATATGGTAGCATATGGTATACCAGTTTATGTACATTGTGGGAAACTGTACAATGTAATAAAGATGTTATGACTTCTGCGTGGGAGACTAATGACAATTTAAGATACTTGTTATGGGAGATAAATTAGACCTGTGATTATATATAAATAATTAGGATCGATTATTTATACATATTTATTTATAAATTTTATTTATATATATCATCATATAATTAAGATAAAACTTGTGTTTCTTATATTTAGATTTTAGTAGTTTTTACAGAAGCATATTATTATTGTTGAAGAAAAAGTGTTGCTTTTTCTTAGAATTGCAATTCACATTTTTCTCACAACTTTTAATTAAATTCACTGTGTATAAGAATTCTCTACAGAGAATGTTTATCGTCATTACAACCAATGACATCCTTTTAATAAGATCGAACCGGTTTTCCTCATATTATGCGAAATATTGGAGATGATAATCCGTACGAAATTTTATACGACAAATTTATTTTATCCCCGAATTTATGGAAATATACGTGTCACTTACGTCATTATAGCATAAGGAAATGTGTTTCTATAAATGCAAAGGTATAGAATAACTTGTTCTATTTTGTATGCTAATGATTTGTGGACGTCACTGAATTTCGCTTGTTTTCGTTCTTTGTTACAGCAATCCACGTGCGTCGCGAAACATGGCGGAGAAGCAACGCCGCGACAACCTCAACGCAAATATATCGACGATGGCGACCCTCGTGCCGAGCGTTGCTGGAAGTTCGAGGAGAATGGACAAAATATCCATCCTGAGATTAGCTACCGCCTTTCTGAGGACGCGCTACAGTAAGTCGACCTTGCGAGAACACTTCTCGCACCTCCCAATAAATCATTTTCTTAATGACTCGTTAAATTTTTACGCCTCACTCTATCGAATCATTTCTAAAAATTCTGGTCTATTATTATGGAATTGTTATTTTTGTTATTATGGCATTATAGTCTATTATTATTATTACTATTTATTACATTCTATTGTTAGGAGATTTGAATTATCTATCATATTGCATTACATTTTGTTATATTTTAACCGCTACGAACATAATTATAGACTACGAATAACTATATATATAAATCCGCTGTTAATCATTCGTTCGTATCGTTATAATTACGATTATACAGGTATGAAAAAAAGCATTACTCACGATCTTGTACATTATTTACAGCACTCGGAAGCGGCTCGATGAACTTTCCTTCTCCGCTGTTCAAAGATCAATTTGATCTGGAGCAATTTTTTGTGGACGTGAGTATACAACATTTATCTCTAATGTAGATCGACCAAGACGATCAACACTCTAGACTCGTTTTTCAAATCATAACAGCACCTGGTTGACAGCGAAGGATTCTTCCTCGTTGTCACCGCAGCAGGAAAAATCGTCTATGTCAGTCGACAAGTGGAGCAACATCTCGGTCATGTTCAGGTGAGTTTTCCTCATCATTAGCAATATAAAGAATCAATCTCCATTAATATGATCGAGGACTATAATTTTGCCGATGTTTCTCTCTTGAAACTTTTTTTGCCGTAAGCTCTTTATTTTATCAATTGCACGAATATCGCGGATATTTTTTCCGCTGAGGAAGAATTTATTTTAAAAGACTCTGTAGAGTGTTGAAGGATTTAATTGGTTTTTACATCCCGGAATACTAACGAAAGCGTCGAATAATTTATAATCTTGAAGACATCGACTTTCGATACGAATAAATTATATTAGTTCCGAGAAAATCATGAATTTCTTATCGCGTTTGTACCTTGATATTTTGAATGTTTGAAGTGCTTAACATCGCGAAACGATTTAAGTTTCCTTTACTCCCTTCGTGCACGCAGCAATTGAAAAGCCGATTGATCGTGAGTGCCAGAATTATCCTTGTTTCAATCGACCGCGTACTCGTCAATATTCATCCTCGATGCCTCGATAAGCAGTAGCGTCAGATAAAAATGCAAGCGTATTATACGAATGAGAGAACCTGCGCCTGTACACTTTTTCAATATATTGTTTACCGGAACATAGAAACGATTAATATTACGTTTTTTCGTGCATCGATGATAAGATGAAGCTTGTCATCGTTCAAAACTATTTACCTCGCAACTATTAACCGAAGCTATATTTACGCACCATCGACATTTTCACGGAATTCTACATCTCTTCCGCGGTAGATCTTTTTTACAATGTATTTGTACTGCGGCGGTTGAAATGTGCGTGTGTACGGGCATTTTCGCGCCGGCGCGGCGCGCCAACAAGATGAGCGGCGGGCGAGGGAGGGTGTACAGCATAGGGCAGCGATCGCGATCTCGTGGCCGCAGCTGCAGCCTCAGCTGCAGCACCGACCTACCCTGTAGCGCGCGGAGTTAGGAATTATCGATCAAATGAATGCGTGCAACGCAAATATGCTCCCATGGCAACCGGCGGCGCGCTCTGTGTTGGCCTCCTCTGTGCCCTCTGCTCCTTTTCGCTCGGCGATGAAAACGTGTGTGCCCACCAATATCCATCAGCACGTTCGTTTTGCGTATTTGTACGCGGGAATTTGCCCGCGCGCGCAATCGTACGCGAAAAGATTGCACGTCCGGTCTTTCTCTCTCTCTCTCGTGCGCTTTTTCGACGAAAAATTGCGTCGCTGCAAATGAAGCGTGCGATGATCCCGCTTGGTAATTATTCATCGGATCCACGTGCGACTTTTCCCCGGAAATTCACGTGTATTTAACTTCATGCATATCTATATGCATATCTCTCGCTCGGGTTCGGCGAGTTTCCGCAGAAATCCATTTTAATTCGTGGAACATGAAACTGAAATGTTAAGGAATTTCGTTTACGTTAATTGTTTTTTAACTAATGACTCCCGAACGATTGAAGGTACAGTTAAATATTTTAAATATAACCAACGGATATTTTTACGTAATATACGTAAAAATCCCGGCAAAAATATTTTTCATATAACAGCGTGATAATAGCTTGGATTAAAAATTATAGAGTTTTTGTTTTCAATTTAATTAAATATTTGGTTAATTAAATAGTATAGGGTTTAATGAAGTAACGATATAGAGATATCATTATGGGATTTAACTTTATTACACTTTATACTATAATAGCAATACTGTTTAATTTACAAAAGAGAAGAGTTATATAAATTATTAAACGAATTATTATTTAATAATAATTCTTAATAATATAATTATATTATTAAACGAATTATTATTATTCGTCATTCCATCAATGTCTATTTCTCGCATTAGAAGAACGAACGATAACTCTATATCGTAACACGCGAAATTTGGTTCGTCGAGAAATATTAATTAAACCAGACGAGAATTGGGTAAATCGCCGCGAGAATCAGTACGTAAAATGGAGCGTGTGATTAACCGGAGGCGGATTTAAGGATCAAGTAATGAACGTTACGGGAATAATGCGCGTGCTCATTTATGTCTTGCGATAAAATCAGACCGGCTAACTATCCGCTACAGATATTAAACGAGTATATTGTATGCGGAATAATTAGCGCGATCGACATTGAGATACGTATAACGAGAATCTCGCTTTGCTACCCGCTCTGCTTGCTTCTTTGTCCCTGGCGTAGCGTCGCCATCCGACAAGATCGGCGTGCCAGCTTTTCCGAACTATCGGAGAGACGTCGTAATTATGCACGTGACGCTGCTCTCTCTCTCTCTCTCTCTCAGCGATCAGAATAATTTTATTTCGCTCAAACTCGGCGCGCTATGATAAGACGAACTCAAAGAAACTAGCTGAGAAATTCTTCATGCGGATATAGAACTGCGCAACACACTGAGGAGATATTAAATGGATATACGAAAAAGAGACGATAAGAAAAAAATATAAATAGTACAAAAAGTACCTCGTATTTTTATCTTCGGATTGGAAATTGCAAATGCAGAAACGGGAAAATACGTTCAGAGATATCTTACGTCAGATTCAAACTCCGATGTTAAAAACAAGGTTCATTTTAAAGCAACTTTTGCCATGAGCGTTGCACACGTGTCTGAAAAATTCGATACGTCAGAAAGTCTAAATCTGTATAGTTTTTTTTTTTTTTTAGATTTTTAGATGTATATTTCATTGATTTGATTTTTCTCCCTCGCTCATTTCTTTCATGAAATTGTATGAATGCTGTCAAGTGCGAACGTTTATCCTTGTTTTCTGCGCAAACAACAACATCGTGTCCTCATCGGAATCTACCATCTAAATTTCTACGACGTTGCCAATCTTAGTGAAAGGTCGTGCGAAACCTCATCGTTCGTCGGACGGTTTGCGTGGAATCAAGTCAATAACCGACCCATCGATTAGAAACCGAGTCGCCAGCCTACATATAAGGATCCCCGGATAATCGAAATTTAGAAACAAAGGAGGTCAATGGCGTACAGCCGGATCTTTTAAGCGGTATCCAGAACCACATTCACGAAGACGCTTCATTGATCCTTTCCGTTGTTCGCGAACGTGAAGTAATTAAGGTAGTCCTTTCGCAGCACCTAGTCAAGTAATAGTCCGTCATGAGGTAATTAAAAACAAACATATTGCAACATCCCAATAATTATAATAATATAAAATATGATTTTACACGCATGACGATTTAATCGTATTTAATTATTTACTAATTAAAAAAATATCACAATAGTGGTGCGGTTGGACTCGATTCTATAGGTGCTGCAAAACGACTACCTTATAACAACGCGATTAATTGTACACGCGAGAGAAAGGCTTACATGCTTTTTTTAGTTATAAACGGAGAAGTTCCGTACACGCGTGTATACGAAGGTATACGAAGCTCCTGTCCGTCGGGGTCTTGATTTCGCAAGATCTTCGGATTCCCACGGTCACATTGAGCCGCGCTTAGCGAAACAATTCCTGGCGGCGTACCTATATAGGATCGTGCGAGCGCTAAGAATAGCTAAGCGACCAATTTTGGTGCTTTCGGCAAGGAAAATGTGGGTTTAGGCCGTTGACGCAAGAGCCCCTCTTCAAGACAAGGTCTTCAAGACAATATGACGTGGCAAATATCACGAGCTTCGAGGAATATGCCTGTGACGTAAACACATAAATTAGGATGAGAAAATTTACGATGTTAGGAGCGAGAAGGGTCTTGGATCTCTTCGGCAGATCATAACGTCGTTTTTGCATTTATATCTCTCGATAATACAGTTATTGCGAAGAGATTTCCGCATTTTCAACTACTTACTTTCTAACTCTGGCTTTTCTCTTCTTGCACCATGATTTCGTAGGAAATTGGCTGTCAATTTCAGACTCGGTTTACGAGGAGCTATCAAACGCAAATCCGCGTAATTGTTATTCCTTTACGAAACGGCACGGAAGATAAAAATCTCGTTTCTGTTTATTAATAAATTTTGCGAATTTATCTCTTCTTTCGACTAGCCGAATGGTCCTTCGCTCGTTTTGAAAAGCCATAGGACCCTAATAATACTCTTATTCGCCATTCATTCGTGGCGCGTGCTAATCTCACCCTCTGTTATACAATGACTTGTTACATATATAGCCTATCTGCGATCATTCATTGGATTGAATTGAGTTGTGGGGAGATAATCGTGTTGGTGTAAGCGACGCTAAAGAAGCATCGAAACCCTAATAATCTAAAGTCTGGAAGGGCGGGAGAATCAAGAGATTCTTCCCAGAAATATTTCTTTCGAACGCGTGTCTCTAAACGCTAGAAACTAGCCTAACTAACTTTAGGGTTATCGCCCTTATGTTTGCGTTCAAGGTCGCACGTGTTTACGTGAATTGACCCCGAGATCGCTTCCAGAAAATCGCACACGACAAACAACAGGAAGGATGAACCATTCACACGTCACTAGAACGAGAAGGCGCTCGACGCCGAGAGGCGCCGATCGTCCGGGCAAAATTAATTGAAATCCATAGAGATCCACGCCGAATTAGAGAATTCGCCGGAGACTTTAATGCGCGTTTCAAATTCTCGTTCTTGGATTTTACGGGTTCTCAGATTCGCAGTTCGTAGCGGGGGCGGGGGTGGGAAGCTCCGCGAATATGCGCTATCCGCGCTTCTCACCTCCCCTGGCTGCCCGCGAGCCCTGAAGGTTTCCTCCGTGTTTCTGCGAGAAAACAACGAGGCGGATGGCGGTGGGATGGCGGCCGTGAATAAAATGTAAAAAAATGTCCCCCGCGCGCTATATCGATCGCTGGCGCGTTTGCCGGTGGCGCTCCAGATTCGCAGGCGTAACGATAATTCGCCACTCTGCTGTAACGAACCAGCTCTTGGAAGCCGGCCGAGTACCACTTCTTTCTATCTCTTTCTCTTTCTCTCTCTCTCGCTTTCGGCCCTACTTGTGCAGGAGATGCCAGAACTGGCGGCGATGGAGAAGGATGGCAAGAAAAGAGGAGTAGGTGGAAAAAGGACAGACGGGGACGAGAGTTGTTTGCGAGCGTAGTTTGTGGCTTGCTCTCATTTTTTAAGAAGGCACTCACAATCAGCTGTATTGTTCTCAAGGAGAAACCTCCTGCCGCGAAAACAAGCTCCGTCGCCGACGTGGTGCGCCTCCATCGTCGTCGTCGTCGTCGTCGTCATCGTTGTCGAAGTATCGCGTCCGAGGGCTGACGCGATGTGTAGAGCCCTTCACAGAAGGAGTCTGAGGACTTCGCGAACGAAACTTTGAAGTACCTGTTCGGAGAATACACAAAGATGCACCCGTGTGCATGCATGGAAAATTTCTAGAATCTAAACACGTCAATGGCTACACTTCAGCTTGAAATAATTATTTCTGCTACAATAGCGAAAGTTAATTAATGAACGATTTAATTATATTTTAATTTATTTCTTAAATAAAATGTAATTATAAAAAAATACTGAAGATACCATATTGTTTTACCGAAGGTGAGGAAGGAATGTCGATTCTTTTCCTTCCACAGTATCGGATTATACTTATCCGATCGTCTTATTTATTCTGAAAACGCGAAAGTAAAATTGATCGATTGATAAAAATAAGTAGGCGACTAAAGTTTCTCGCACGCGCGCGTGACTTTCCTCGTAACTCGTAATTCTAATGATGAATCTTTATCCTTAATACAATATAGGGACCAGGCGACTGTTGCGCGACTGTATTACTGCCGATATATATGTATAAGTCACAAGTTAACAAAGGTCATCACCGGTGCGCGGATTCATCTAAACTTGGAAATTAGTCTCTCACACGTTCTGAACTTCGGAATTGTGTTTCGCAGAACGAGCTGCTGGGTCAATCCCTATATAATTTCATCCATCCCGAGGATCATGACGTGCTCACGCGTAATCTCACCCCCGACGGGATGCAGCCGATGTCGGCGCCGTCGCCGGCGGGCGTCGCGCAGGTGTCCGAGTTGGCGCACGACAACAGTTCCAGCTCCTCCGAGGACTCCGCGACGACGAGCAGTCGCCGGACGAGCGAGAGCAGGACCAAACGCTTTTCCGAGCAGAGACGACACTTCCAGATCCGGATGGCGCAACGCGCCAACTCCAGGCGCGATCACACTCAGCATCAGTGCTTCGACGTTTCGGGCCTTCTCCGGCTCGCGGAGGCCTGCAAGAACGCGGACGTCAGCGGGAGCAGAGGGAGACAAAGAGGTAAGGACTTGATTGTCCTTCCGACATCGATAGATATAAGATGTTATCTCGTAACAGCTTGAGATTTGGCGTCGTTTTGGCGTAAATGGAATTTGATACGTCCGGTAAATTTAACTTTAGAAGATAAATCTGAAAAGATTTGAAGCGCGTCAAGAGCGCGGTCAGAATACGAATTTAATCGTCAAATTGTTTTCTATTTCCCTTCTGTGTCGCTTAATTTATGATTGTGCCCTGGTCCATTATCCTGATTGGTTTGCATAATCCAAAACGCAAACATTACGGTTCGTTATGCGATAAACGTTACATCCTAATTAGTTTGCATAATCCAAAACGCAAACATTACATTTCGTTGTACAACACAAACGTTACATTTCGAATATGGTACGCAAGAAGCGTAACAACCGTGATGGAGAACGATCGTGATCGGCATGCATTTTAGCATGGCTCAGGTACATGATACCTCTCAAAACCTGAACTTCAGATTGTTGTTATTCCGCTTCACGTTGGGATTCACCCTCTGATTCTAGCGATCTTTGTATAAAATATTTTATTGAAATATGAAAGAACAGTCTAATCGTTAAGTTTTGACAAGCTATCGCGACTCGAGTCAGATAATTGATTCATGAATCAGTTCGATAAAAAAAAGAAAATCCCCGGCCATTAAGTAATTTAGATCAGGGAGGATGTCTAATCGCGGATTCACAAACCAATTGCGAACGAAATGTCATTTACGTTCACGTGGCGTTTAATCCGATTACGATTCAATCGACGGCCGCCGAGTGTCTCGGTTACGCTGTTTTATCGCGTGGCACGGCTAACAACAAGATCGTTCCCATCGCGATTCGAATAATCCTATCGTGACTGCTGTGTTGCGTCGGCAACCGCAGACGTTCCTTCCGTATAAATCAGCAATATCGTGCCTCATTACGTATTCCATGTCGAACGGTCCCGCGCGGTGAGCGACTCTCGTGCGCGTATACCTCGGATCGATGGTCTTGTTTTATCGCGCGACACACGGCTGAAAAACCTGTACGGCTGGTTTCGAAATGGGTATCGCAAATATTTACGCTACTCCTGTATTTAAATTTAGACCTTCGCCGTCGCGCGGACGAAGATACGTAGGCGCAGCGTCACGAGTGTTTAACGTAGGCTCTTCTTTCGTTTTCTTTTTATTTTTTTTTCTTTCCCGCTCGTGTCTAAGATGAGAACCGAAACGCGGCGAAAAACGCCGTGTAGAGAGACGCGCTCGGAGAGACGGACCGGCCGACACGCGCGGGCCTTTAACCGTGCCCGCCGATCCTTATTACGCTGGATATCCAGACCTGTCGGCCCTGTCGCGCCACTTTTCAGCTCGCGAATTCCTTAATGTCTTTCGAATCACTCTCTCCCTGCCCGAATACTTAATGGAAAGCCAACATCCGACGTAACTTTCCACTTTTCGGCGTTAAATAATCTCGGTAAGCTGGTTCGAAATTATATTTTCACCGCGGATAGAGCTCACTCTCGGGGAAAGTAAAATATGATTTACGTATTTGCATTTTTAAACCTCTCTTATCTTCTCCAATAATCTTGTGGTCCAATGCCTGATCAATGCCCTGGAAGCGAACCTCGGCCACTCTTTAGCCGATTTAATTCAACAAGATGGTAGATTTAAATATCGCTTCTCGATGAGAAGATTAATCGATTTTCTGATGGTATTTTTCTTATTGATCCAATTCTCTCCTGGGACGATCCTCTCTTTTTACCTCGCTCTGATTTGTACCTCGTGCAATCGCTGATTGTTTGCTAATGATGACGATTTTGGAATGGCTTTTCCAGAAACCACGGGAACCAGCAACGACATCGTTTTCACCGGCATAGTGACCATGCCGAAGAAGCGGTCCATCACCGAATTGTCGATACTGGACGCGAATAAAGACGAGTACGTGACGCGGCATCTGGTCGACGGGCGTATCATTTTTTGCGATCACAGGGTGTCCGTCGTAGCCGGGTTCTTGTCGGAGGAGGTATCGGGCCGGAACGCGTTCAGTTTCATGCACAAGGATGATTTCAGGTGGACGATGATCGGCCTACGGCAAAGTAAGTTTCCGCATTTAAATGTAATTAGCGCTAAGCCCTCATTGGAATACTTGCCGCACCACTCGGCAGCTGTCACATTTTACAACTGATACCAAGATCTTTTTTCTTTCTCTTCCCCTCTCTTTGAAATTCGAAGAAAAATTAGCTAAAGCATTCGAGTAATATTATGTCACTTCCTAATTTTATCACTTCCGAATAAGCCATTAAAGTTGTACACGGCCGTATATTTACATTAGTTTACATTAATAATGTTATATTATGCATTACGCCAGCATTATTTTAATGGATTCAAGCTTTACGACGCGATCGTTTATGAGATGTTTTACATGCTATTTCCATAACCAATTGCAATTTGAATATGTCAACAAAGTATATGTAAAACGACTTATTTAGAGTCCGATGTAACGGGTCAAATATCATTTTGTTCTTGTAATTAATCACGATTTGTTATGCATTTGTAGTGTACGACCGTGCCGAAACGTGTGGCACGTCGTGCTACAGGTTAGTCACGAAGAACGATGGATTCATCTACTTACGGACCCACGGTTATTTGGAATTCGACAAGGATACGCAAACAGTGGAATCCTTCGTTTGCGTCAACACCTTGGTATCGTAAGTATTCGCATCTTAAAATAGATTGCGGGGCAAGTGACAAGGCGAACAAGGTTTTGATTGATCCGAATAACGATATTAACGAGCAATAAACATTGAAGGATCTTTTTTTCTAATTATTGTGGAATTATCATCACTCAAAATTAAAAAACTTGTTGAGTAATTGTTGAGACCGCGAGACAATTTATTAAACGAAATTTCTGCTTTTTCACTCGCTCCAACCCATCTTTCCAAGAAGAAAGAGCTCTTCTTTTTGTTTCTCAAGTGCTAAAGCAAATACGTCGGATATCATATAAGGTGTATTATATTCGACATAAAGCAATGGGAAAATTTTGTACGCAGGGAAGAGGAAGGGATTAAACTAATGAAAGAGATGAAAGCAAGGTTTTCTGCCACCGTGTCCGCAAGTAACAGAGGTCTTATTCCGGCTAGCGACATTAACTCATCGATAGAATTGGTAAGTCAAACTGTATATGTATCATGTTTGTAGATATAATACACTTTCGTTTACATTGTGCATGATACTTTGAATAAGAAGATTGTTTAACGATCTGAAAATAATGGTTTATTAGAACTCAAACTCCCAGCCACCGAATCCGAGATGTGATCTCGAAGATCCAGCGAAGCTCGAGGATGCTATCACTCATCTAATCAGCGACCTACCCTCACCGGCTATGTCGGAGGACCGTTTCTCCCCCTCGCCGATGCCGCACACGCAATACGTGAAGGCTGCTATATTTTCTTCTCGTATGCCCCCGGCTGCCGCGCAAGCCAACAAGATTGGTATCAATAAGATCGACCACTGCCTTGTTATCCAAGGCAAAGGCAAAGTAACTCCGAAGCAAGAATCCAAACATACGATCGGAAAACTGATTAATCCTAGTAGCGCGGAGCAAAGCCCGATATCGAGTTTGGAGGGTGCGATGCCATCCGGCAAGTCTTTGTCAAATTTTGAAATGATGAACGCTGCCCCCAACAGCCATGGCAATATCCAGAACGCCGATATGTCTGCACAATCAAATCTTGCCGCTCTTAAGTCTAGTAAGAGCTCTCGCGCGTCACGTAATCATACATCATGTTTGGACATTTCTCAAAATACGAACGTCTTAAACGCGCAGGAAAGAATAGACCAGTGCAATGTGAATATGTTGTCGCCAAACACTCTAAACGACGACACCACATGCAATATCAAGGTGGAACGTGGCATCGAAGAGACATTTAATTGTTTGGAAAAGCAGGAGTCGGTACTGCAATACTTCGACGACAGCGCGAGCGACAGTTCTATCGTCTCGTCAAAAATCGAGATGCACAATCGGTGTCCATTGAAGAGGATATGTAGCAATGAGGATCTTTTGGCGATGCATAGTAAAAAGAGACCCAATGATGTATACGCATCGATAAATGCGAACAACGAACAACAACGCATTTCTTATTTGAAATGTAAATCTTTCGCGGCTGAGTATCGAACGTTCTCGGATGAATTTAATCAGTACAATGACATCAATTCGCATTTGCTGACGATGGAATCTGCGCCTAATTCAATTCTGCACGATGTCGGAAACGACTATCAACAATTGGTAGATCCCACTGTGCCGCTGGTCGTAACAAATCACGAGCAGTTTGAGTTGCCGGAGGATACGTTGCTAGGTTCGGAACTGGAAAAAATTACAAATCCAGGTAAATTACGATAGTAACTTCTTCGATAGCGCCTCAGCCCTAATTGAATCTTGGTCTCCTGGAGAAAAGCAATTTTATGTGTTTCTTTGGCTTTATTCTGGTTTTATTAAAGATGTAATTTTTATAGAAAGGGATTGTAAGTCCTTTGCTCTATCTCCAAAAGTAAGAGACTGAGTTTTGTTTTAAAGAAAATGAGATATTCTATTTTGTAATCTTTGAATAGTACATGATATAGTCTATACTGAATGTGTATTGTATTCATAAGTCTCACATTGTCAGCTAAATTTAATTTCCCAATTTAAGTCACATTACAGCGTTATAGAATCAATTGCATATAATGAATAACATATTCTTGAATAGATTTTGTTCTCTTGCAGAACTTATGATGAAGATATTCGGCCGTAATGGATCTGCAGGTTTCGGAAGTGAGTTTACATATTATTCATAAATATTTTTGGAGGTGTATGTTCGTCAAATTAATTCTGATTAATATTGTTTCAGATTTTAACGAAGCAAAAATACAACAAATAATATCTAATGATGTAAGTATATAATGATAAATGTGTGATTTATTATAAATTAAATTAATTTAAAAAATGTGGATTAGAGATCAGTTATCTCACAAACGAAAGGTAAATTACGCAATATATTTACAGCAAATAGTCAATGACGAGTTACGTCGCACGCATTGTCAGCTAGAAAACAGTATAACATTGAACGAGTCCCATATGAACGTGTTGGCACGTGATCTCAAAAATTCAGCTCTCCGTATCCAAAGGGAAAATTTGTCACAGTTACGGGTAGGTTGATTTTGAAGAAATATCGCGCAATATATTAAGATTACTCATTATTTATTCGTTATTTTCTAGGCCGAGAATGATATACAAAAGCAAATGCTTAAAACTTTACAACAGGATCACTGTAAAATGCAAGTGAATGCCAAGCAGAAGCTTGGAATCTGAGAAATGGGATGGTCTCTAAGTCACCTCGCGAAAACGGCTTTCAAAAACGCGAGCTTAATATGATGATACATCCGGGAATTGTTTTAATTAATAAGAAACAAGCTTTAAAAGTTATCCTTTCCTTAAAAGACTAGGACAGAGCTCTCGGCATTCGCGTACGCGCAATTTGCATAATACCTCCTCGATTTGTGTTCTGAGATCTCTCTGTCTCGGATATCGATATCATCAAGATTTACGACGAAGATCTGGGTAATTATTATCAGTGCAGCAACGAATGGAGGTTTGCATCAGTGCGGGCGCCGTGTGTAAAACCGCTCAGCTCACGAAGAAGCCAAGACGTTGCTTAAGTTGACCGCAAGTGATTTACTTATTACTAAAGCAGTTTGTGTGTTCGCTTTCGATCCGCGTTTTCCCTTGACCAGTGGAAAAGAAACGAATGGAAAGACATTGAAAAAAGAACTCGCACAGTATAATCGAGTGATCGACGCATGTAAATGATTCTTTTTCTTTTCTTGTCGTTTTTACTCCGTGGGATTAAGGACTTTATCGCGCGCCGTCATGTAGAAGGACGCGTGCTTCGCTCACTAACTGATAATGCAAAGATCGTACAAAACCGCATTGTATACTGTTATTTAAAACGTTGATACATTATAACTGTACTCGCAAAGAAATGCACATTTCGAATCGATTTCTAAGGCGACGCTTCCAATCTCCCCACGCTCGGCGACCGAGCTGCCGATCACGCACGTGACGCTATGCCAAAAGAGTTAAGTTAAAAGTTAAATGGTTAAAAGTTGAACACTAGATTTTTTATTATTAAGTCTAATATCATATATATATATATATATATGTATTATATACATGTATTATATATATGTATGAAGTCATAATTTTATTATTATTATTATGGAACATATATACCCCGTGTTCCTTTTTTACTGGCAGTGTTGAAAATATATAGTTTGCGTCACGTAACTATAGATTTTTAGTACTGGCAGTGAATAAAGGAACACAACCATAGTACATTAATAATATAAAATTTAGTATTAAATTTTAACTGTTTAACAGAAGGTACGATCATCTCAGCATATTTTTGATATAGGAATGCTCCCGCGGCATAACAAACATGCGCAATCAGCAGCTCGGCCGCCGAGCCTCGAGCAACAGTGGAGGGATAGGAGGTGTCGTCTCAGAAATCGACTCGAAATGTGCCTCTGCGAGCACTGCATTATAAATAACAGTCGCTACTCAGGCAGATTTCCTGCGGCGATCGAGTGTTATGTAGTTGGCAATTTTTAAATTTTACGGTATAATGAACTTGTATATATGATATACATTCGATTTTAATGCAGCACGGCCGCGTATGGCACTTTCCTCGTGCTAACTCGCTCGCCGCAAGTCCGGTCGAGCTTGAATGCTACCTCTGCAATTACATATTTGTATCGGATGGATACGAAACCAGTTTCACTTTTTCTTTATTCTATCGGTTGTAATTGCAAATCTATGTTAAATATTAATAATACTCATAGTGTTGGCATTTTTTATAATTATAAAAGGACGTCACTGAAAATGTGTGAAAAGACAATTTGGTAATTTTAACGAATAATGTTTTGACTTATCGCATCGTGTAAATTTTATTATTGCATATTTATATGGAACAACAAAATATTAAATTTAAGGATATGTCTTAGGGTTGCCACACTATAGATCGGATTTGTCCTTACTTTTAGGGAGATAGTTTTACAACTGTATGTACCTGAGAATTCTACTTACGTTTAATTGTTCTTGTAATGTTTGGAAATTGAAAGTCCATTCACGTGTTATTAAAAAGTGATGACAAATATAAAATTAATCATTAAAAAACGAATCTCATTTTTTATTTGGTTATCCTTTTCCCCGTCATGATTACTGCTTCATACACGATTCTATTTTTTATAATGTTCTTTAATACTTTCAAAATGTGGTAACCCTAAATATATCTCTGAATTTTAAGTTTCCATAAATTTAATAGAAAACCACTGAAAATATATTTTAATTTTACAAACATAGAAACGTTAAACGTAATAATATAAAGTAAGTATAAATGAGTACATTTAAACCGACTCATATACTTATTTATAAAAAAATTGATTTGCATAATAAGGTTTTATAATATACATGAGGTTTTAATATGTATCTTTTATAATTTCTTGAATGACTTTTGATCTAACTGGCCTTGCTATCCATCCAATATCATGTTACTACGCAAACATACATTAATAAACGTTATTTTTATTTCATCGTTGGTTGACCTCCGCATTAATGAGTAATTGCGTGGAAATTGATACGGTTGACGTATATGTGTGTCAATTATTAAGATAAAATACATATTAGCCAATCGGGTTGCCAGCGATTACTTATGATGATGCGGGTCAGCGTGAATATAAACGTATTGTATATCGTAAAAGTGTTTAAAATGTAAAAGATATTAATATAAGAGAGTGACGGAAATTGTATATACTTGTCAACATATTCAGCACTGGCACTTAACAGATCTACAATCTTATTTGGATCCCACATGTACAGGTAATATAAAGACTGGCCATGTAAATAAAAATGTTAAATTTGATCTCAAATCGACAACGTTCAAGCGTTTCTTTTTTTCGAACAAAAATTACCCGGCGAGCATCTAGAATGTATATCTGTTATCTGCAGTCACATGCTGTCTTATGTGTATTAAGTTAATAAAAAATACATTTTTTTCTATACAGTGTTACACTAAAGAACTGATTTGAAACACACGAATTTAATACATATAAATTTGTCATGCTACGTTCTGTTGTTGTACATTTATCTTAATATACTTTGTGTAAGTTTTTCATGCTCCTGTTATCATGCATCAACTTGTGGGACTTGGAATTTTATTGTCACTTGTAAAGAAACAATGTAACAGCATATATACATATATATGTATGTATGCATGTACATACATACACATACACACAGATGCCATATATATGTGTATATATATATATATATATATATATATATATATATATATACACACGTATATACAAAGTGAGTTTTATTTCGTGTGCCAATTATCTCAGAAAAGATTTGTTTATTGGAAAAATGTTTCGGATAAAAGTTGGAGGGTTTAGAGAGGCCAATAAACCATCTTATTAGATTTTGGGATCCGTGTTGGACCCAAGTAGGGCCCAAGTTAAATTTTTTTAATGGAAACTCCCATTTTTTATTGTATCATCTTTTTCTACTAATTATTTGGAATAACGTTTATCTGAAACTGTTTTTTATTTGGCTTATACTTTTTTACTACATTTATTCTCAAGAATATGCTGTTGCAATAGTACCCCAACTTTTTTAAATACTTGTGTATACACATTTTTCCAATAAACCAATACTTTCTGAGATAATTGGCAGAGATAAATTGGCACACGAAATAAAACTCACTTTGTATACACGCATTATATTCATTGTAAAAAGTTTCGTTAACTCGTTTTTAATGTTACATTGGTGTCAAGTGAGGAAGTCAAGATTATCGGTCAGTAAAGGCCTCTATATAATTACGATCGTTACGTATGCCGGAATTGTGAAATTTGAAGCAGCCTATTACCCCTTGTCGGTTTTATCGGTAGAAGGGCTTTACTGCCCTCACGTGCCGAACACTCGTCATCGATGAGAACCTACGTTTTTATGCGGAAATCCACCGCTGAAAAAAAGGAGTATCTATAATCGACCTGTATGTACGAAGTTCACATTCGCATAATTGACGACCGCGTGTAAAGCGGGCATCAAGTTTGCTCAACATCGCCCTTGATGCCCAATTTCTCACTCGGTCTTATAGTACAAAGGGCAAGTTAAAACTGTCTGTGTTCAGTGTACCTCATCCTCTTCTCTCTTTCTCTCAAACTAACTTTTCATAACTGTCATCAGTCGTGCCGGGGGTTACTGGTATTAACGTCGTGTAGCTTTGAATATATCAGCTTGGTTGTGATTATACCTGATAGGGCATTTAAAACAATACCTGTCTAAATATACATATATCTTAGTTGCGCATGAATACATACGAGAAAGTAACAATAAAAGTTGGTCGATTTAAACAAGAAATATGACAGTTTCTTTTTATGGAGATCCAGTTTTTGCTATTTTTCCGTATCGTCGTGATATTTTTATGAAATTATTTATGAGAGATATCACACAACAGAAATTGTTGACAAAAAATCGTTAAAAAATCCGAATGTCACAGCTATTAATTTTTACAACATGCGCTATACCATTTTACATTATTTGCGATAATTTATGAGAAGACAACCAAGCGTCACTACGGTTTGTATGACACGACGCCGTGCATTGTAGTCATTTAAGAATTCATTCATTCATTGTTACGAAATGGAGTAGAGGCATATAAATCTCTCCGGAATGGAGTCATGTGCATAATTGTGCATGCATGCAGAAAATTAAATTACTTGTATGCGATTACGTTGTCGTAAATCACAATGAAACAGGGATTGAGGAAAAAAAACAGATCCTCTAAGCTCTTTTATCTTAAGGTAACTAAGAGAGATATATAAAACGGACGGCTGGTCGATATTTAATGGAAAAAAGTGGATACCAATGCAACACAGACGGCTCTACGGTTCATTATACGCTAAGATAAAGTTGAACTTTATATACCGCTGTAAATATATACATATATATATTACGTTATTATATTTTATATTCTGCTGATTGCACATAAGTGGCTTTCCGATTTCTTTCTATAAGGAGCAAGAGCAAAGGCGATTAAGTGTGGTTGTGTACCTCCTCTCATATGCGCGCCTCTATATGTATATGTATACATATATTAAATGCAGAATGCGTGGCACGCGTCAGTGCCACTTGGAACTTCACAGCATCAAGTTGTACAGTCCCGACTGTTATTATTGTTTTATAAAAACGCAAGAATTTTGAAGATTCTTACTTGGGACGAGAGGTATTCCTCTCGTACTATTGTTCTTAACAGTGTCATAAATTACATCGAGAGAAAGTCAAATGTGCTTTTCTACCTCTTTAATTTATGTTAGTTTACAGCGAAGCTCGTATCGGAGCAAGGATATGCGTGCTGTTCGGTTACTCGCGCGATTTAAAAAGATGAGTTTAATGTTATATTGTAAATGCCTGGTAATCATACTTGCACTAGGCATACCGATGCGAGGACTAATTGTAGATTGTCACGATGACGTGTATGGCTCGTTGAATACTGCGTGCACAATAAAAGAATGACGTTTTTTGTAAAATACAATGGAACGACAAACGTTACAGTTTATACTTACCTCTCCTGCAGATTGCTCACACACGTTATTAGTTGACATATTTCCCGTTAGCGTCATCTTTTTGAACGGAACGATCCATATATGAGCACGTGAATTTATTTTGAATGAGTCTCAGCCGGCCGATAATTATACGAGCGAGAACGTTTGTAAAAAGAAAATTTTCTAATGTATAATCTTAATGTTTTTTGCTGTTAAGCACTATGTAAAATCCGATAGAGTTATACTGTGGTACGTCGAACGTAATTTGCATGGCGAGCCACTCCGGTAGGAAATCCACCGCTAAATTATTTTATTTACTTTTATCATCCTTTTCACGTAGCTTTTATTTTTACGTATCTTGGATATATGTATGTGTATGTTAATACATCTCACGCTGATTTCATCATGGCTCTACATGTTGAGTTTGGCATTTTTTTTTATATTGTAATATATTGCCAGATGGCACACACAAGTCCAGAATATTTTAATATATTTCCAACTTTTTTATATAAAGATTATATAGATTGTATTAAAAATGTAAAAATAGATTAATTATATCGCGCATTGGTGCTTATGGCGTCGTAACACAATGTATGTGGATTAAAAACAGCTATAAGTATTTTTTTCTCTCTTTTTTTCTACTTTACGTTGAAGGTGGATAATTCTTGTCGAGAAAAGCGGAGGGCGAACGGAAATAATGAAGATACGCGTACATTGTGAACGAATTCAAAGAAATTGCGCAGAGATTTATAAAAATGTTTACGGTCGAGTCGCTTTAGAACGGATACAGATATTAATTTTGCTCGGAAATTATTGATAACGCGGAGCACGATAGAACTTGTCAAAAAAAATTGTAAATGAGAAATCATTTTTTTTCCGATCGGATGATCTTTTCGTTTTTGATAAACGAAGGAAATTAATAATTCAACGTATAGTTTGCATAATTCGGCTATTACTCTATGTTAATATATAACGAAAAAAAGAAATACGTATGCATTCATGAAAAAGAAGAAAATATGTAATTGTGACGAATAAAGGAATATAATGATGGAGGAGGATCATGTACATGTACAGTTATTGTGTCAAGACTGAATTAATGACTTCAAGAAGGTGGAACATTTTTGTAAATAATACTGCCTCTGGAAGAAAAATATATGTAGAAATTATATGAATATTGTAGAAGTGTCGATCACATCGTTTGATTTATATTTGACCCTTCTTGTCTTCGTTTACAAATCTACAAAAGAAATATACCGCATTTCAAAATACTAAGGTCGCGAGGTTTTTTTTTTAATTATTATTATTAAATTAACTTGCGCCAGAACCGTTTAGTTTACAAACGTAAAATAGTGATGAAGATTTTGTCGCCTCAGATACAATAATACGTAATTGTCGAAGCGACTTTGATAATTAAAAAATTAGTCAATCGAATAATTTCTAATACGTTTACGTAATTGCTATCGGTAATTGTTTAATGGGCGAAGAGCTGTCGGAAATAAATTTATTGAAGATTCTCGCTCGTTTCTATTTTATTCCATTCGGTGATGTGTCTTAAAAAGATTCGAGAGGAATAACTGTGTCGTAAAAATAGTGGAGATTTGTACGCGATGGTGAATATCGTAGCTACGTTAGAGAAAATGATCGAAAAGGCACGGCATTTCGTGGCGATCCGAACGAAAGGCACATTCTGCGTACTGCGGATATAAATGAAATAAGTCCCCTAAAATGAGAAATCACTGTAATTTGTCTCTCAATTTTTATTCGATATACTGTATAATCGAGGCGTGTGAGTCGTACTTATCTAACATGCACCAAATCCCAAGTAAGACAACGCACAGAGCTCGTATTGTCGAGGAGAAGTCCGTAAATTGACAAGATTCTCCCGGCGCGAATAAGAGATCCCAGTTATAAAATCACATAAAAAATGAGAAATAAGAAATTTCAATCGCAAAATGCTTTTAATCCTTTAAAATTATTAAAGGATTAAATTTAAATTAAAAATAATTTTAATCATTGTTTTAATCCTTTAGTCCTGAAATATTGATAATACAAAACTGATATTGAATCCGTAAGTCTCTTCGAAATAACTAAAGATTTACGGATGAAGAAATGTTTTGGAGATCATCGATGTTTTGTTAAATTGTTATTGGTTGACGTAATTTGAAGTCGATTTAAAGTCGATCATAATACGATTTTTCATCGATCGAATCCATTCGTCGGTGAGCTGCTCCGCGATATTAGAAGTTCAAGACCAAACGAATGCTGATAATAGATAACTTTATGCGACTGGGACATCGTACACGCGCTCTGCGTACGCAACGTCCTGATAAAGGCAGTGTGAAATAGCGAATTGAAATAAAAACGGATATTGATAGCGGTAGATATCGATTGATAATGATACTGCTCATCTCGCTTGCACGCAGACGGTATCGCTTTTCGTTCCTACTTTCCTATCGTCTCGCATTTCCGGCAACGATGCTGCGCGTACTTGCAATTTGGTTCATATTCCTACTGGTGGGAAAATTTCTCAGAATTTTTCATATTATTAATTAGAATTTCCATAAAAATTTTCAGAATGCTCAGAATTTTTTCGATTTTTTTATACGCAAATTGGAACGTTTTTAAAGAAAATGTAGGCAAATTAAGAATAAAATATTTTAGACTTTTCCCTCCAACATATCTTTGTAAAAATCTGAATAAATATGAGAAAATCTGTGTAATTTATCAGAAGTTTGCATACATACAGATATTGAAATATTCCGAAAATTATTTCTAAAAGTAGTTATTTGAGAAATTTTATAAATTTTTCACAAGTCTCAATTATTACAAAACTGAGAAAATATGAAAAATTTTTTCACCAGAGAGCCGTATAAAGTCACTGTTAAAACGTTGCGACGCAGCGCAATTAATGATACTTCGAATGCAGAAGCCCGTGTGCGTTTCGATAACGTTAATTTTCTTTCCTCACGCAGGTCGCGCGGAGATTCGAGAGTACAAACTTTTGAGAGGGGGGGACTTGTCTCGTACAGTAAAACTTATGATCGGAGTTGAGTCTCTCTCTCTCTCTCTCTCTGCCGCAAAGAAAAATAGAAAAATATACGAGTTTCTAAATAGCGGCGCGCCCACGCGCGTGGGCCTCGCCGTTCTCTAACAATAAGAACAATACAGTTTGAAGATCGTTCTAGATGACTATTTGTTGCTAGGATGAAAAACGCCATCAGCAAGAAGCACAATCGATACGCGCCGAAAGTTAAAGCGTCACTTCTCTTCCCCAAATCGCTCGATCTCTCTGCTACGATCTCTCGCTAAACTCCAAATGACCCAACGCTCTCTCATTCTCTATTGTCGTACTCCCTTTTTCTACGCATCACTAAGCGGATTAACTTGGTCGTGAAATCGGGGTTTTAGGAATTAATTTGCTATTGATTACCAAATCTGCTTATTAGAGGATCTTTAACGAAGTCTTCTTCTATATATCGTGCTCTCTTCCAACCTTAAACACGAAGTCTAGTCAAAAAGGTGTAATACCTTTCGATAATACGATGGATCGTGATATTTAACCATTTAACCGTATTTAATTGTTGTTGGAATTAAAATTTTAATCATTTTTAACTTTATGTTTACTTTTGATTAATAAAAACTGTTTCAATGAAATTTAGAAAGTACTGTAAATGACAAATCTCTTGTAATATTTCTATTTTTATTATTTTTAAAATTAATACATATATTTTTAACAAGTAAAATATTTTACTCAAGTTTATGTCAAAAATGATACTTTTCTAATTAGGAACATTGGCGGTTAAACGGTTAAGATAGTCGTTCTGTTTTCAATTGTGAAAAAATATAATTTCGGCAATGAAACTTCGCAATTGAAAATAGATCAATTTTTATCGACTATTAAAGCATCAGCATCTATCTTCATTCACTCAGTCAATTTTACGTTTGTATGATTCTGCCATTATTTTATTAGCAGAAACTAAGAGAAGTATTAAGAATATATTTTAATTCGATATGAAAATATCATCAATTTCAGCCAATACGATGCCTGTGAAATAAAAGTAATTCGTCTACTTAGTGTTATTTAATAAATATAATTTCTTCCCGCTGTTCGATGTACGTAGGATCGTATTGGATCACACGCACGAAATTGAAAGAAATTGATAATAAACGACGAATAAAAGGAAAAATGGATAACGAGAGAATAGACTGTTAACGGAAGCTCGAGCTCGTCGTGACGCTTCCCAAAATGCTCCGTACACAATAGGTATACATAGATATACATATATTCAATATATGTATAAATTGGGTGTTTGATTCGCGTTTATTATTTTATATCTACAACTAACGGGCAATATATACAGGGGATAAGGGGGAGGAAGTGAGATGTATCATTTTCTCCGTGGCCACTATAAGTCAGACTGAGAGCAATTTATTCAATGTAGATGTCCTCTATCGGGAAAGCAGTCTCGATGAATTTCGTGTAGAACCGATGAAAAGCGCGTCTGAAAGAAGAGAGTCTCGAGTTATCGCTCATGTTCTACGAATAATAGATTATTCGTTCTTCTCGAGATTTTTCGGAGATTTAGAAAAAAAAATTTTTAAATATGAACTGTATCATATTGCTAAATTGTTAGTTGCAATACGATATTTAAATATAATCAAATTAATAAAGAAATTACTCATAAAGTGAAAATTTTTCATGATTTTGCGCAAAGTGACGGCCAGGTCGAGTTTTTCGTGATAATAATTTTAGAAAAATTAATTTTTAGAGGCAAGCTAATAACTCACCCGACAGCTTCGGCGACGGGTCTTGTGGATTCTTGACCGATGAACACGTGACAAGCGAACCTCTGCAGAGTGGGGTGCTTCGTGATGAAGCCGAGGTAGCGATGATCGCGAGGGTGAAATGCACAGAACGATACATTCTTCAGCGAGTAGAAATAATCGTGACAAGGACCTTGACTTTTCTGCAAAAATACGTTGGCAATTAAAAACTTTTCGATTTTCTCGTTTCCCTTTCAATATTCACACATTAACGTGTAATAAATATTGAATTAAAACTAATTATACATGCATAATTAAAGTCGTAATTAAATAACGTCTTGCGCATCAAATAGTAATGTTTTATAGAATTAATATAATTCTTTTGTAAATTTTTTAGCTGTGACAAATCTTTTCTAAATAGTCTAAATAGTCTAAAAGTTTTAAGGTTTGACGCTCTTGCTGAGAATTAAAATAAATATGTAATTCGTATATTGCGCACATAAATGAACTTCAATCGATCGCAAGGGGACACTTACTCGCGGTTTACTTCTATCGACCATTCGAAGCCCCTGATCGGACACTTCCAAGATGCAGCTCTGCGAGACAGGCGGATCTTGCGAGGAGTTGCGAAGGATTCTCCGCACCGCCTGGCAAACCACTCCTGTACCCTTGTGCGCCAGGGTCTCCACCGAGCCCAGGTAACCCAGGAGATATCTCTCTCTCTTCACTTTGGGCGCGGTGGGATCGAAGTCACTGTAGTCCATGTCGACCGCATAAGCCGACGGAAAGATGCCTTGTCGGCCCGTCCTCAGATTCACGCCTAATCGCGAGAAACAGAAAGATAGAATACTAAATTCTGTGCGTGGCGTTAATTTTACATTCTTTTTTGCTTTTTTTATTTTTTATTTCCACTCTTATCTGGTACACTCAAGAAATAGGCAATCAAATAGAAGAGAAATTCGAAGTATGTCTAAAAGTATTTGAAGGACAACCGAAAAATGAGAATTTCTTTCTTTAAACCGTCTCTATATCTTCTAGACATTTAATTGCTGCTTTAGAGTTTGGGTGGCAGTGTAATCTAATGGTAAAGCGCCAGACTCGTAATTACGAAAAACCGTGTTTAAGTCCACCTGATCACAGGAATTTTAATCAAGAGACACGGCAGTGTCTCGCGCCAAGTACGTGCGAAGCGAGACCGCACCGTGACTCTTTTACGCGAACGCACGAGTTGCGGGTATCCGAGATTTTAAGATCTCAATAACGAGTGAACGGATCAAGTTCTAACGTAGGTATTCTGAACTGCACTTCTTCGCACGAAAAAGGGAGCGGAGACGCTATAAAAAAAAATAATTAGAATGCAAAAATATTTTGCTGAAACGTTTTATTTTATTAGCGTATTAGGAAAGTGTACGTACTGTGTTGACAAAATATCATTATTAAGAAAAAAAAACAAATTAAAGAAGCCTATTTTCTTACATTTTTCACACTGTATAAGAATCTCGCTTACGTAGAAAGTTGGATAACCCATGTGGATACGTTTTATTTATGAAATTTCTTTTGATAATAACTTTTTAGCAAACAACGATCGACGATATAAAAAAATGTAATGAGAAAATAATTAAGTTTTTTTAATTTCTTGTTTTTTTATAATAATATTTTAACAACACTATACGTACAGTTTTCTAATACACCAAGAAAATAAAACATTTCAGCAAAATATTTTTAAATTCTAATTTTTTTCATATCAAAATCTTGAAAAATGTTGAAGCCAAATAATTAAAATCTGAATATCTCAGAAACTAGAAATTTTCGCAACTCCGCATATGTGGCTTCGACTACATTCAGTAAGTACTACGTACCTGTAAAATTTCATCAAAATCGGACTTGGATAATATACTAAAGTTAACCCCTGATTACTGCTGAGTCAAGTCGATATATTGCGAAATGAATATTCTTACGCACCTTCGCACCAGAGATCATCGGCCTCCTTTTGCACGTATATGGGGTCTCCGATTTCAAGATCAATTTCGTCATGGTGTCGCGATATGAACTTGTGCAGGCCTCGATGCGTTGCCTCGAGCAGTTCCAGTTGGGTGAACGGTACGCCTCCGCTTCCTTCGGAATGAAAAAGCGAGCTAGTATTGATTCTCCGAGAGTTATTCTGATTAGCTTGAGAAACATTGTTTATGATATGGGACAACAATTCCTGGCTTTTGCAACTTTTCCGAACTAAGGCAATAGAAGCGCCAGATTATTGTGTAGCAGAAAATTCCAACGAGGCATAAAATTATACGAAGCGTTAAAATATTATGTGCAAAGCAATACCTTCTGTTGATTTTTAAAATAATTTTGTTTGCCAGCAGAATAAAGTTTAAATATAATCTCTGAATTATTTAATAGCAAAAATTAATGTAAATTTATAATTCAAGCAAAAGAATTCAATCTATAAACATCCATAATAGCAAGCAGATTTTGATGAGAAATTTTATCATTATGTATTATAACAAGCACAACAAGGAAAAAGCTATAGACCTAAATTTTAGGGATTAATAGAACTCATTAAAAGTAAGAGAAGTTAATAAATATCAGAAATATTTAAAAATTAAATAAGTGTTTTTTATCTAAATAATAGGTCAACAGCTTTAAATATATTAATTTTTATAATTTATAAATCAGTAGACAAAAACACATTTATAATTATCTTCTCTCATTTTTTTTTTTTTTTTAATTCAATTTTTCTAATATAATTTGTTAGATCTTCGACATAATTTCTTTATATCTGTGATATTAATGATATTATAATAGCGGTACTAACATATTAATATTTTTTTTATCTTTCCATGTCATTTTTGTGTTGTAATCGCGCATTCGAGTCAATTTAAATGGATACAAGGGCAAAGATAAGATTTTTCGAGGAGGATCGTGATTACCTGGGGTGCTGCTGGGCGACACCGAGTCCGTGTTCTGCAAGGTATTGCATGGTATGGGCGACACGCTCTTGGGGCCGTTATCAGGAGAATGAGCGGTAGAATGACCGCTGTCGGTGGCCATCCTCTCGCTGTCGGGCGAACTGTCCTCGTGACGGAGTCTGGGATGACATTTCCTTAAGACAAGATGAGGTCGGGCCGATGTCGAGCCGGTGGCGGCACTCAACTCGTCTGCCAGCGAGGTCGACGTCTGGCACGTGGGCAAAGCTGAAACGGCATCGGTGAACGTCAACACGCGCCTTTCACACGCGAAATGCTCTTTCTTTCTCGAAGAATTCCAATACGCTGCATGAATTCTTTTGGCACGGTTTTTGAAATAATATTCAGATAAAATCGCGTCTCTCAATCTATATCGGAACAGCACATTTGTCACGACCGCGAATGGAAAATGCTGCTGCTCCACAACAGGTGCCTTATATAGAACTAACATGATGCAAGTGGATTTTCTTTCTGTGGTCGCGACAGTGTGGTCAGTTTCTTGGTTTTCTTGGTTTTCGTCGGTATGTAAGATGCATGAGTGACAGTGACAAGTGCGACGGGCAAAAATAATACAACTGATGTTTATCATTCATTGTACGCGAGTAATATTCCACGTCAAATCGGATTTTAAAACATATCATGAAATTAATGGTTACTTCACCATATTATAATCAAAATCACACAACGCATCAAAATACAAAAGTCATATATGTGCATATTTTAAATAATATATGAATAATTTTAAATAAATTAAAATACATTACATAAGATGCTAAGATCTGTAAAATATCAACAGGTTTCTAATAGCATATTAATGAGAAGTTCTACATTAATATGTCAACACGCGAGTCTGATCTTTACTCTAATTTTTCAAAAATTGCGGACAATATGTTGCTGAAAGACTTCCACATTAAGAATAGATTTTTCGTTATTGTTTATACTATTGTTGATAAATCACCTACTCATGTGAATTTTTTTTTTCGCGTTTTGTGTTCTTCTATAAAAATTACAGTATTAAGTTTACAACAGTTTAGTCATTGAAACTGTTGAATATAAGATCGAATGCGAAGAAATTCTGCACATCCGCCATATCTCTCGTTATTGTTAATTTACCATCAGACGCGTTGTGCATTCGTATACGGTGCTTTTCTTACATTTTTTGCTTTTAGGAATTTCCGGCAGTCTTCTACGTCTGCGCTCGGTGCCGCCGCTTCCGGGTCGATTCGACGGCACGTGCTCCGGCGTAGGCCAGGAGCTCAAACTGGAACACGAATCGCCGACATCGCTGACGACACTATCCCGGCCGTCGTTACCGGATACGGTAGTACCACCCCCGCCCGGTCCTGGTCCGCCACCGCCTACCGATCGACCCCTGCTGCTCAGTCCACCGAACAAGCTAATGTCATCCAAGGCAATCGTATAGTGAGCTAAACTATCATTTTTCATGCTGCCTATTTTAATTCTTCGCGAAGATCTAAGTAAAATATAACAATAAAACATAATAATAAAAGAAATAAGACCGTTGATATACATTCAATAAAAAAGTTGATTCTTATTCTTCGTCGAGATTGTGAGGAGATTTATCTCGTCGCGCAACACGCGAGACTACGTCAGTCGAGAGTTCATAATTGCGAATTGACTGAATTTTGATGACCAAGTTAAGAGAAAAAATAATATAAAATATAAATACGTTATCTTGGCATTACAGAGTTTCTTTCGTGTATTTAATTATTCTATTTTATAAGTAACAGACAAGTGAATTTAATGATCAAATGAAAATTAAATTGTTCACTGCGAAAGAAATAAACAACATATATTCTAACCATAAAATTCGGTTAGTGTCACACAAATCATCGCATAGAAATTATATCTACGCAATGTGCAATCTAAATTCCTTGTCATATAACAATATATTATTCACGTTAATAAAGAGTATAATAAAAAAATCTAAATTCTCTTGATATTTAATTACTATGCAAATAAAGGAATCATAAAAGGTTATTGACGCAATGGTAGATATAGAACAGAGATGCGAAAACCCACTTAGAACCCTCGGGAAACATTAAGAGTCCAGAAAGTGCTATATATTCCTGCAGCGCATCGACCATCGTCCGCATGCATCACAGTTTCCAACCGCCGCGGTGGGCGACACTTGATTAATAATTACGAGCGTTGCTGCACACCGCGAACTCTTTCCGAAAGTTTCAGTTATTTTTAACAAGGTCAGACCGACGAGATTACGGCGTTACTGTAGATTACTATGCGATGATGCGCATACGTCACCTGTACCTACGTGTATGTGAGTGATACCGTCGCGAATTAAAGTATGTACAATTGCATCTGAAAACGTAGCATAAGCGAGACGTGGGATAAATTGTAATAGCCACAACACAACAGAATTTCCGAGCTTGTCGCAACAATATTTTGTGGAAGGGATTCGTATCGTCGAGAATGTAATCCCGTTTTTTCTTGGCGAGAACTGAAATTATCACAGATATTCTATCCCTTATCTTAACAAATCTGTACTCATTCCTTTATCTCCCGCAAGATCGCTTTAAATCCCTTAATATGTTTTTTGCTCTCCCTCTGTCTCGAATTCTTATTATTTTCTATCATAATTCAACGTTCAAAGTGTTACAAGTTTTATCCAAGTTAGTGCCAGTTAAAAGTGAAACTCTTCGCCAATCTCTTCTTCGTTAAAAATTATTCAAAAAAAATGTTAAAAGCGTACAAAGACAATTAGTAACAAATAAGCACAACACTTACGACGTTACCAACCTAAAATCGCTGTCAGCTATGATCGAGCAATGATGATTTAGCTCCTCGCTATCATCGGGGGTGGTGTGCCCGCTTTGGTTGTCGTGCCGATGGATGACGACGACTTCCTCGTCCTCGGAGTCGCCGGTGACGACGTCGCAGGATCTGCCGACCTCTCCGTCGCTCCCTTGCGAAGACGTCGGCGAATCATCGATCATCACATCGTGTACGAGCCTGGCATCCAAATGATTAAAATACGCAAAGATTACGCGCATGAAAATCACGATCAAAACGATGCACAAATGCTATATATGAAATCAAAAATTAATGAGCTGTATCTGACAGCGTTCTCTAATTAAAGGTAAAAATATGATAATCGATAATAATTAATTTATTCTTCGAAAGTAGCGTGCAATTATCGCACGTCGTGGTGTTTGGGGCCTTCTTTTTAATTTTTAATATGTAGAAAATAATAATAAATCAAAATCTAAAAAGATTTTTGCCATTAATTCTATTTTATATGTTGTGACTATCTTTATGTCATTATTTTTTAATAATGCCCAAAAGTCACAACATATAAAATAGAATTGATGGCGATACTTCGTCGTCTGCCGATAAAAATAAAAGTACAAAGTTATTTATCAGAATTAAGAGTGAAAAAAAATTACTCTTTGGTCTTGTGCTTTTTTATTTTTGTCTATTATATTGCGCCATTTATCGCATAAGTAAATATAAATGCACGAATAATTCTTAGTAATTAATTCATTGTTAATAAAAAGTGAAAATTGCAAGTGACATATGTACCTCCTGTTTACACAACAATCAAGATCCCGTTTGTAAAAGAATAGTTCGAGAGCGTTGTAATGTCGAAGCTCTCGTGAGAAGTACGTCTGCTCTTTCACTCTTCAGATAAAAGAGAATGCTTGAGCCACAATCGCCGACAAATATCTCGCGTCCAGTTGCACATTGATTTTATGAATCATAAAAGTGGCATTTAAACAGATTTGACGAAAATGTGAATGTTAATTGAGAGGAAAGCCCATTAATTTCACACACGTTGCTTCGAAATGCGAGCAAACTAGGAAATTAGATCGGAAATAATTGCAGCCGCGAGACTGTTGCGTATCGATCTTGCTTTATTTTTACAGAATCAGCTGCGGGCAGTGACACGTCTGTGATTCAATATAAATGTATCTGCAGTATAATCTCGCACGATTTGGTGAAAAACATAATAAAAATTCTATACAAAATGTCGATCATGTAGAAAGATTATATTCCAGTTACCAATTATATCTCTATATTTTTTGAAATGACAGAAAAATGACACATGCTTTTCTGCTTACGTGTATTATTTATGTTATATAAATTTCCTCTTTCCGAGATCAAAATATATATCTTCATTAACCGAATCTCTCGTGCTTGAAATGCAATTGAATACGTAACTAATACACAAACGTTACGTGCCCTGCGTTACGTTTATGAGGTGATGAGGTCAATTGCTATACGCAAAGTTATGCAATTACATCTCACGCCGGTCTCAACACTACAATATATTAACCGTCTAAGCAGGATCATCGGTTATTTGCGGTAACATGTACGTATGCATCAACGAAAGCCGTAGATCACATCCGTCAAAATTGTCTATACGCGCGTCGCGTTGCAGTCTCATGTCGCATTCGTATCCTTGTGTCACTTATGCTCCAGGATCAATAATTTTAAAGGCACGATGCTGAAGGGGCATTCTTGGCGATTTCTCCTTGGTGGCTTTCAGTCTGGTAGTGCATCGAAGTGTATCCGCGAATGCGACATTTTATACTGTGACATTTTATAAGTCCCTTGAATGTTGTACATATCAGAGGGATATGTGCATTTGGGAACAACGTATAATAATGTCATAATATTTTATCATTGTATAAAATGGAAACAAATGATCAGATAGTATAACAATGCTCTCGTACAACTTCACTTTTTCAAGTCTATAAATGCCATACAATCTTATCTAATTGTAAGAAGATTTTAAACTGCTATATTTTAGAACTTGAATAAAAATTTTTTATGATACAGAAATAACTTTGCCATTAAATTGTCGCATTAAATTACTCAGTGATGTGGGAAATTTCTGTCAAAATGACTCATCCTCAGACGGCATCCCTACTTCTTGAACTATCAATTCCGGTTGAAGGTACTGTGTTATTGCTTATTAAAATAGTAAAGTATAATATAATTGTAATTGCATATTTTAAAGGGCCGCTGAATAAAATTTGTTAAATAAAATAACAAGGCCTTAAATGGATATACCTCAAGAAATTAAAATAATATTGGAGGATATATAATTTTTTAAAATCATAAATCACTAGTTGTCTGTATACAATATTAAACATATCACATATAAAATAAATAACATTTTAAGAATTCAGCGTGTATCTTTTGCAATTATTATCTATAATTGATACGATAGATGACGGCTCATTAAATGAAGAGTCAGATTATTTATAATCTCGCCAGTTTTGTAAAATTATTTGGGATAACGTGTCATGTACAAATATTTCTCATACACTCCCCCCAGTCCCGTTTACCAATTTTCAACTCCCTCAACGTGGTCTACTATCTACAACCTACATTATCTATCATTTGCACAATCTGCACATATCACCAAGTCTACTCGACAACGATGTATGACCCGCGATACATTTTTACGGCTTCTAATGTGTTCCTGGACCGATCCCCACGCCTCGTGCTCCCAGTTTCCCATCTAAATTATCTCCTCCCTTTGATTCCTGACCGCCTCTCTCGCCACGACCTATGTGTGTCACCGTCGCGGTCCTCGTTGCATCGTATGTCGTATCATCTGTTCCGAAGGCAAAAATCCGCTGTGTAAAGCACTCACGTGTAGTTGGAGAGCGGTGCCTTCAGGTGTTGGGGCAGCCTCTCGAAGTAGTGCCGAAACTCCTCGAACTCGCTGTCGGCCATCGCCAACGACGTTCGCGAGGGCACGGGCGAGGTATACGGAACGGGGATCGGTCCCGAGAGCGGCCGTGACGGCCTGGAGAAGAGCTGCTTGTCACAACCCCCAGGAAACGATACGGGGTGAGATGTCGCTTACGTCGTCGTCGCCGACGTCGCTTCGACGTCGCCGCGCGAGCCCGACGCAACCCCTATTGATTCCTGCGTGGCGAACGTCGCGCGCCTGCTCGTTCGCGAGGGTGGACGGGGGTTGGTTCTCGACCGGAACGAGAGAGAGGGGGGGAGAAAAAGAGAAAGAGAGAAAATTAGAGGGTGAACGTTTGGCTACGTATTCTCGTCTCGCATTTACTGCTAAATGCAGCCAATAACATCGGGTGATTTTAACATTAGGCAAATAAAAGCTAGAATCCAGTGGTTGCTAAATGAAAGCTGCGGTAAATACTAGTCTTAGTTTTCTATCCGCCTAAATTCTTCCGAAAGACTCAATCGCTCTCAATTGCTATGTTTGAGTTGAGATAATTGTTTACGATACGAATTCAATCAATAGCCGGTGCGCTATTTTCGAAACAGGAATTTGATTGCGAAACGATATGAGTTTAATGCGATAAAATAATTCTTTCCTTGCTAAATTTTTTTCAAACGCTTACAAAAAACACTGTATAATAGAAAAACTATGGAGTAACACCATAAACTACATGTATGCGCTCCGAGAAAATGTGGGCCAGGTCTCTGCCCGAACATTTGTGGATCTAGCGCGCCGCCGGTCGATGTACATTGCGCAATGAAACATTTATCAGCGGGGCACATAAACTCTAGAGGAGTTTACACTCGTATCTCCCGGAGTGGCTTAGAATTCGCAGCCGAGCCGCAACATAAAAATTCCGGGAAAGGCGGCTAAATATTTTACAGCCATCTCGCTATCGATGTTTTTCGCTCGTACACTCGTGCTGTAACAATAAAGATTTGCCTATATTCCGATGATTCGTCGAAAATTTTGCAACTTGCGCCACTTCGTCATATAACACACATATAAAAGTATAATAAAGCAAGTAGGTATCGTAAACGCAGCGTTTTTTTCATGCATTAAAATCGATTTCTTCGAGGCTTCGATCAACATGAATCTCGTCAATCGATTCTCCATCTCGTTCCAAAGCTCTCTAGAATTAATAATCTTAGAAGGCTTTAAATGATTAAAAATCAATAATTAAGTGAAAAGGCCACAGGGCCGTAACAAAGCATTATTATCGTAATCTTTAAGTAAAAAATTGACAGCTTGGCATACGTTTCAGCCTGACATTAAGCCATCCTCAGTGTAAACTTGTTATACGGCTTTCTGCCCTTTTCATTTAATCACTGATCTTTAGAATTAGTACGAAGTAATGAAGCTACCAAACGATTGGAATTAAGTGTGACTTGGATAAAATCGATGATTAAAAATATAACAATTTTTACTTTAAGACGTAGAGCTTCATAACAATATTTTATGGGCAATTTTAAGTCATTGTAACAACATTACGATAGCGATAACTTCCTACTGGCGTGTCGCCAAAATTAAATTGCGCCACGATTACATTTTGCGAATGTCTCTGCGCGACGTCGCCAGCTATACGAAGAAAATTTCTCATTCTACAATCTCTTACAACTGTTTTTCTCACATCCACCCCCGATTTCACCGATCGCCAGTTTCATTCGTGCTGAGAGGCTGCTCGGAAAGGATCTTCCTGTTTGCTGTTCGATGAATAGTCATTATCCTCTCCGTCGCGAAGACTTTCTGCGCTCTTGGTCGTCTCGATCGATTAAAAATTTTCAGCCGATTTTCTCGAGGCCACTCAGAAAGCTTTGAGGAAGAATGCGTCTCGCGAAAGTGAAGCAACAGGCTATCGACGTCTATCGACGTCAGAAGGCATCAGTGACACGAAAACGTAATAAAACGTATAGCTAAAAATAGACAGCGCATTAAAAAGTATTCAGATTATAGAATAAAAATATAACATGAAAGTATAACACAGATTGTACAGCAAAAGAATAAAAAACGCAATCGTACGCGGAATAGTGGAATTTATAAAACAATAATTTTGACGCGAATATAACTATATGTACTGTACTTTTTAATAAATAATCACCATTTTATGCGATACGTAACCCGATCGTTCGATTATAAATATTGAAAAGAAGAGATCGATATGTCGGGAATGTAAATATGATTTGAGACTGCATCAATTAAATATGTTTTTATTACACGACGGGGGGAGGGGGGGCAACTTCGTTAGTGTAATCTCAAGGAAAAAACTCAGACAATACAAAGAAATCGACGGTATTGACTGTGTCTGACCTAGTGGCCTTTGCAGCCGCGGATAGAAGACAGTGGCTAAATTCGTGCTACCCGGCATATCCCATTAAAACTTCCCCGTTTGATTCTAAAGTCGACATATCGCCTCTTGCCGTCGACATATCGTTGCTGGTAACTGCGCCATGCCCTTTCGACTTCGCCGCCGTATCGCGGCGACAAAGGATGTCTTTCATGTCACCGGCAATAATATACCGGCATACGAAATTTAAGGGTGAATTTAGCGATGCGAGTGACGTAAGATTGCGTTATGGACACGGACTGATCTCCTCGCAGTTTCACGTGGACCGTGGATCTCTTCAGCATCTTTTAAATGCTGGCAGCGTTGTGTCGGGATCGATAAATTTTACAGCACATTCGGCAATGGGGTTAACGAAAAAATCGGCAGTGAGAATTAAATTGATTAAATAATAAATAGTTATATAGTGTTGAGAACGCTCGCGGAGAGGTACCCTCTTTGGAACTATCTGTCTATGAGAACGCGTTCCGATAAGGGAGCATCCCCGGTCCGAGGATCGAACGATACTCTCAATCTCACTGAATGCCGAGCGAAACACTCGGTATAATTTACCGAGGGTGGAACTGCGTTGCGGCAGCTGATAGTGGTAAGTGATAGACCACTCGTAATGTGCTGCATCTACTTTCCTCGCGAGTGGGAGTACCCCTCGGGTGTTCGAGCTTTTATTAAACAGTTTCTTTGTTTCGGAGCAGAATCCGAAGAACGAGAAATCGCCGTCGCCTCGTTGAAGAAGCTTCCTCCCCCGTCTCCCGTATAGGAAGTCGTCCTACCAACTGACCGCTTCTTCGCTTTGACGCTTTTGATATTGCGATTTTTTAAATTGCAACATGTACAATTTTATACGTGAACTATGCATCTTTTAATGATAAAAACGTTACTGAAATTCCGTAATAATTTCTATAAAATATTATAAATTTAGGAAGAAAATCTCGTCAATATATTATATTCATACTAAAATCTCTATACATATATCTATAATATTCAGAAAAAGCTTTGAAATATGACTTTTATAGTGTAAGCATAATTAAGTATCTTATATAAAAATAATTTTAAAATAAGTACTTGCTTTGGCAGTACATATACTAATTTCAAGATAAATGAATAATTTGTAATTAGATATATATACAATTCTGTGTATATACGTAATTACATTGTTAATAGCGACAACGTTATTTAAAATAGATGAAATCCAAAATAATTATATTTTATATAAATATTAATAATTATAATTATTTTAATCAATAATTTTATTTTCTAGTGTTAAATCTTTTTTCCGCGTCAATTCAATGAATGTCTTATCCTTTTCGGTCTCTTTAAGCAAAACAAAATAAAAGAGACTCCTTAGGTAGAAATTTATTGCAAAAATAAAAGTGTCGCACCTCGTTTATTGGAAACTTTGCAATTCTTGGGCGCGCTTCTCATTACCGGTGCTCGCATCATCCGCCCCGTGGGCTCCAGTGACGTCACTTACGAGGAATACATTCGAGAACCGGCACTTGCCGCTAAACTGGGGGAGGGAGGGGGGGTGAGCCAACACTTGTCTTCAACCCCATGAGAAATTTTATCCGACCAATGGGAATCGCTGGTGCCGCTGTGCGCCGCCCAGGCGAGATCGTCATTGAGAAGGACGAGCGCAGACGGGGGGACCGAGGTCTTAAGAGGACCTTAAGGATGGTACCGGCACACTGTTGCTCGTCTCCTTAAAGACAGCGAACCGTCAATCAGTCGCGAAACCGTCTGTCGCGTCGTGCAAAATATTAAAAGAGATAAATCTCGTTGATAAACGGAATTACCGACAAAAAAAAGAACTCCTCGTTGATTCGCGAATTCGTTTGTCGCAAAAGTCATTATGAGTGGGTCGGGGAAGAGTCTTCTCGGGGTGTGGCTGTACAGGAGAGGCGAGAGTTGGGCCGTCAAAGAAGGAAGTCCGCTACACAAATCGCGCGACGTATGTTGCCGCGACGATGTATGTTAACGACTCGATGATTTTAGTTAAAGTCACAAACATTACGATAAATAAAATCGCGTACAAGAATAATTTAAAAATTATTTTTTTTTAGCAATTAATCTTAGAATACGTGGTCTTTGAATATGATTAGAATGTTCTCTTATTTTTAGAGCAAACTGTATACTTATATATAGTAAAAATAAATGTAATATTAATTAATCTTGTAGAAGCTTTAATTCGTTTATAATTGTATTTATAATTATAAATATCCAGTCAACACCAAACATTAATATTATAATTTCGCACAATAATGTAAAAATCATATAACAACATGTGTTGTGATGTGCTCTGTGTTGACTAGGTATTAACTTCAAAAACATACTTTTCTATCTTCAAATTATCGATATTTCTTAATTCTTTCGTATTAATCATTATAATTCAATTGGATTTAATCAAAATTTTGAATTTTATAAAAGTGTAGAATTGAGTTTATATATGAATAGACATAAAGGTAGAGACGAGCGACTTATTAAACAGACATGGTCTCTCGTTCATTCAGATCCCCGAGAGTGAGAATAATCCGACTAGTGGCAACAAGAATTCCGTGATATTTTCCTTGAAGAATCAGGTCGGTGGCTTAGCACGAGCACTTCAAGTGTTTCAGGTACGTTTTGTATTTCCCGTTTTCGGTATGCTTACGTTAAAATTACGTTACATCCTCTTTAAATTTTTTACACGTTATTTAAAAAATCTGACCGAGCGAGCGAAATCAGAAATCCGGCAATAAAATAAAAAAAAAATAAAAAATAATGCTGCAAAGCAAAGTTCTCTAAAAATTTTTTGCTCGTACATGTAAACGAGGATGATTGCTTTCTGGGAATTACAATTACTAATACGGGAACCTCGCGAGGTTCCTAAGACAAACCTTTCCAAGCTCTCCATTAATATGAGGTAGATTATAAATTTGCGACAATCGGTGCAATGAAATAGAGTCGTTTTTGAAATTCCAAGTGATAAATATACCGCATAGATATGAGAATCACACACATAGTGTGTGCTTATAGAAGCACGGTTCGAAAATTTATTGAGGAGAATCTTTCTTCGTCGCGCGAAGGATTTAGGCATAAATGTCGTGCACATCGAATCGAGGAAGTCGCTGCGCCGCGGCTCCGAGTACGATATCATGGTGGATGTCGAGTGCGACTCGAAGAGGATGGAGCAATTGATGAAGATGCTGAGCCGCGAAGTGGCGGCTATCAATCTCGCCCATTACGAGCAAATCGGAAGTATACCACGCGCGCCTTCTCTTTCGACCGCGACGAGCTTCGGTGAGTACCCCCCAGTACACGTGCACGGTAACGAATATCGATAGAATAAATTTTTCATCGTAACGAAATAGGGTTAAATGCAATTCCAATACCCGTGTGCCGTTGTAAATGTGTATTGCACAACTTGGCGTAATTAAATTTCGATACGATAAAATGCAGTTTTGATCAGAAGAACGCTTTCAATCTTCATAAATTAAGAGCTACAGTTTCCAATTTTAAATAAAAACACTAATAATTTATAATTATATAGTAATATATAATTTTTATTCATTTGTTGTTCAATTTAAGTAAAACACTTAACAATTTAATAATAATAATTTAACAATTTGTTAAATAGTTTCATTGTCGCATTCAGTTATATTTATAGTTCGCTGAAACTGAGAGAATTTTTTTTTTTGTTTCAAATTCTCGTTTATTTTAAAGCTTATAAACTTAAGTATTTGGTCATACGATCTCTTTGTTCGCGAAAGAGATATTGAATTTCTTTACGTGCGTCGCTCAGTTTATTATCGCTACCTCAAAGTGTTCCATCCTTTTAGCAAAGGCTAAAATTGCAAGTCCGATAGAATTTGTATCAAGGTTTTATCGCGGGGCTCGTCGTTTTATTACCTTTGTCTCAAGACTTTCGGAATTAATGGAATATCTTATAAACAACACGCAATGGATTTAAAGATTTTAGCGAGGTAGACATGCCCTGGTTCCCGCGGAAGATATCGGACCTCGATCGGGCGCAAAAAGTTCTCATGTACGGATCGGAATTGGACGCGGATCATCCCGTAAGTTTACGGCATAATTTCGTGCATGTTATTGCAATTACGCCTTCTCGTACTCGACCGCGTGCTTTAACAAAACTATTTGACAATTGTAGGGTTTCAAGGATACCGTGTATCGTAAACGCCGCGAGGAGTTCGCTGATATTGCTTATAATTACAGGCAGTAAGTAAAGCGAAAGAATTTACCCGCGAGAGAGTTTTTTTTTTGTTTTTATTAACAAGCAACGTGATGTTTTAGTGGTCAACCGATACCGAGAGTGCAGTACACGCCGGATGAGATCAGAACTTGGTACGTTCTTTTTTTAAACTTTTTTATAACATTATTGCAACATTCGCAATATTTTTTTCGTAAAAAAGGAAGAATATCACGTGGAAAAAAAATCCAAAATTCTCAAAAACCGAATCTGTAACATTCTTCAAAGTAGGAAAGACTAACAGAAGAATTCACAAATAAGCACCGCGATCATGTTATAAAAATCATTCATGTATCGCAAGTCACGAACCAACTGATATTCTCTTTCGAGACACGGCATACAACTTTTTCTCATTAAACTACGGACAGAACTACGAACGTGCCTCCGTATACATGAAGGCAATTGGAACGGATAGAAGAATCATTTCTGTTTCTCGATGCTTAAGCTATACATTCGCTCGGTGTTTCCGATGCGAGGACTCCCAGCTTTCGAAACCGATTCGAAACGAGAAAGTCAGTTTGCCCTCCTTCTCCTCCTCTCTCTCTCTCTCTCTATCTATCTATCTATCTATTTATCTATCTATCTCTCTCTTCCTCGTTCTATGTGTCTCTTTGTAAGGCACGAGTAAGATTGGCAGACGCTGAATGCACCCTTAATTGCATCAATTTGATTTATCCTCGGCGTAGGAAGAGTTCGAGGAGAGACTCGGCTAATGCAATCTCTCTAACTTAAATGCAACGATGCATGAGGCAAACATTGCCGCTTCAACAAACTTAATCAAAACGAGAGCTCTTTGGTAAAAGCCAAACACGAATTCGAATAATTTAATGACCATCGTCAATTCGTCATTTAACAATGCTTTATTAAACATCGTCCAAAAAAGATATACAATATATCGAAATATAGCAGAGATTAAATACATTTTTAACACGTAATGCAAAAACGTTTCCAAAATATAAAAAGATTGTAAAATATAACAAAATAGCAATTTTGTGTCTTAGGGGAACCGTTTTCCGCGAACTGCATCACCTTTATCAAAAATATGCGTGCAAGGAATATCTGGAAAATTGGCCGAAGCTGGTCAAGTATTGTGGATACAGGTACATCTAACAGATATTTATATGTAACACAAAATTTGTCCAAACTTTTGCTTAAAAAGTAAACATTTATTGATGTGCAAAGAGTGCACGTAAAAATATAATATTTATATTAAACATAATTTCTGAAGTAAAAAAGCAAATAAAAAGAACTATCAATTTGCAAAAATAGCATAAAATATATCATATTTACATTTTCTTTTAGAGAAGACAATATACCACAACTGCAGGATATAAACGTTTTCCTGAAGCGTAAGTAAGACTGTCACGTAGTTAATCTGTCATTTCGCGGAAGTACTGGTAGCATGTTTAAACGGAATATATTTCACAGGAACGACCGGATTTCAACTTCGCCCAGTCGCGGGATATCTGACACCGCGGGATTTCCTCTCCGGCCTCGCTTTCCGAGTGTTTCACTGCACGCAGTATATTCGACACTCTTCCGATCCATTTTACACGCCGGAGCCGTAAGCCCCGTTCTCTGTAAAAGCGCGAACAAAATACATTGTAAACCGTGAAACGGATATCGATGATGAAATAAAACTTCTAGCTGAACTGTTCTTTAACTACCTCGCTATGCTGTCGGCGTATGTTTTAAAATAGTTGCAATATCTCGCAATTTTGCAGAGATTGCTGTCACGAATTGCTGGGCCACATGCCGCTGCTCGCGAACCCAAGCTTCGCGCAATTCTCTCAAGAACTCGGTCTGGCTTCTCTCGGCGCGTCGGACGAAGATATAGACAAACTGGCGACCGTAAGTCTTCGAACGTAGGAGAATATACTTCTTTCCTCTTTCGCACGCACGACTTCTGATGTCTTTCCAGCTGTACTTCTTCACGGTGGAGTTCGGTCTGTGCAAGCAAGACGGTATGCTGCGCGTTTACGGGGCCGGTCTGCTGTCGTCGGTGGCGGAACTGCGACACGCGGTCACCACCCCCGAGAAGACCATGAGATTCGAACCGGACGTCACTTGCAAGCAGGAATGCATCATCACCGCGTTCCAAAATGCGTATTATTACACGGACAGCATAGAGGAGGCAAAGGAGAAAATGCGGTAATTAGCTTCTTCTCTTGAATTTAACCCGAGAACGGGCACCTTGTTTTTTTTGCATAAACGGTCACCTGGGGCCATTTTTACACGCCAATTAAAAGTCATTGTTATTAATTACGTATATTGCATATTTTGGATTGTTCTATAATTTATCAGTATTTGAGTACAATATGTATATAGATTTACTCAACATTTTCCGAGAAAAGTAAGAAGAAACCAAAAAATATTTAAAAAACGAAAGAAGCACATTAAAATTACTGTGACGTGAGCTCCATTTTTCCGACACTGGGGTGTTTAAGTAGCCCAAGGTGTCCATTCTCGGGTTAAAAAAGAGTAAACGTCGTCGCTGTTTGTATCTGTTGTTGCTACTATGTCATCGTTGTTATATTGCCGCTTGTGTTCTCCAGCGCGTTCGCTAATCAGATTCAACGACCCTTCGGGATACGCTACAACCCGTACACTCAGTCAGTGGAGGTGCTTACGGACGCCCAAAAGATCACGGCGGTGGTCACCGAGCTGCGGGGCGATCTTTGCATAGTATCGAACGCCCTGAAAAAGATCCATGAGCAGGACGACACCGTCGACGTCGAAAGAATAACGAGCCTGCTGACGCACGGCATCGACTTGCCGCAGGACAGCGGCAACTCGTCCTCGGACAGCGACGATAGTCCCAACGCCGAGGAGACTCGTCCTCGGGAAGATCAGCAATTGCGTCACGACGATGAAGATGCCATCAATGTAAAAAATTAAATGGCATCATTCTTGATATCGCAGACTCATTAAATCCTAGAAACGCTTAAAAGGACCGGCGTAAAGCTTTAGAAATGGATTCTCTGACGAAATCAACAGAAATGCAAAAATCTCTTTGGTGTCTTACATGAAGATGTCGTAGAATTATAGACATAAAAAGTAAGCTAAAGATAATTATTTTGAGAAGAAAACTCAAAATATTAAAAATATATTAAAATATTAAAATACGCGTAAAATAGGCGGATTAAAAAGAAGAATTATCTTTATTTATTTCCTGCTCGCCTATTCATAAATAAGTATATCGATAATAATCCGAAGATTCAAATATATAAAAGAAAATAAGAGACATCAATATACTAGTCATCTCATTTTAAAATATATTATAGCGTGAATAGTTAGACTAGAATGTAATTGTATGCATATGAAATGTAATCTTTTGAGCAAGGATTTCTTTTTAAAAAGCAGAAGAGAAATTTTACGAATTGAGTTTTCAGCTTTCGGTCATTTCATCCCTGGCAAAAATAAAAATCGGAACGTAAATCAAATGTAAAGGGAAAATGACAAAAGCGTAAACGAAACTTCTCTCTCTCTCTCTCTAGGAAGCGTCAATTGAAACGCTATATATTTAAAAAAAGTGTTTTAAAAAGTAAACGACTCTTTTACGTTTTGCTGTTCCAATTTATGCTTTCTAAAAGTTCCATTTACGCTTCTGGTCACTCTGCCCTTACATTCGACTTCAGCTCTGATATTTATCTTCGCTCAGCGATGATATTATACCTACATTCAACATTTTTTCGACTATAACTTTTAAATCCTTCGATATAACATATACGCTCCTGATTCTGTTAAATGTATAAATAAGATGTTATGTAGAATGTATTATATTATGTAGAATGTATAGTTATTGAGATGTGTCGTAATGGGATTAAAAAATATATGCAAAACTATGATATAGATCCAATCTCTTGCTGACAACTCTTGCTCCATGCATCCACGTCATTTCTTAAATTTTATTAATTTTCCGCTTTAGAAACAATTATGTAAATTATAATAATTATATAAATAATTTTGGTTTAAATATATCTAATCAAAGAAACGTATAGGCAGTTTGAAGGCATTGAAGCCCTAGGAAATTCATGTAAGTAAAGCATGGCAATTACGGTGTTACATTGCACTTTGTGACATGTAAATTCTAAAATACTATATATAAGATATATACATATAATTAAAAAATAATTATACTATGTCATTATATTATAGGTTTCCGAAAAAAAAAGAAAATATTCAGGAGATGTAGATAAAAGCAGCAGGACTAGAAAACGTCCCTACTAAAAACAGCGTCTTATGCAGAATGTTTTTATTATCCTACCGGCCAAATTTATCTGCGACGCCCGTCACGGCCGCTAGATTGGTATGCACGGCATGCCTATCCGGCACAAACCTATCACTGATAATGGATCAGTTAAAGTAAGAAAGCCGCCTGTGTTAGTTGCAGTTTTTACAATCCCCGTGTTGCTTAAATCAAACATAAGATAAGACGAATAGTCTATTTCATGCTTATCCCCTTCTCTTATTGGATTATGCTTGTTGAACTAGAAATATTTCTTTAACACAAATTTTGATAACTCACAACTAGTTATACTGTGTATATTTACATTTTTATTTATTTATTAAAAGATAAATAAGTATTATTATAATCTTTTTTTTTACACTCTTTACCTATAATTTAATTTTTAAATATCAAAAGATATTTAAAATGTCAATAAAGAGTCATTAGTAATTGTTTATACATATGTCAAATATATATTTTTCATAATATAAACTCTTAATATCTCTCCATCTTCGGTAACTAAACGAGCCTGAAATGTTCGATTGTAATAGTGAGTACTGATGAGAAATTTTATTTTTATACTGAACATGAAATTTACTTTTGCCGGGTGCAAGTAAGATAATACCAATCTGTGATATCCTTTTTTCGTACACGAATGCAGCAAGAGACTTGAATTAAAAAATTATGATATCTTATATATTGTCTATATATTTATCAAGTATGTATATGGTCGTAGAAAAATACCGAATAATTAATAAAACAATTTATAAATTTTATTTCATGCGAAAAGTAGCAGATGATGATGTCGGAATTTCCTCTGATCTGAAAAGTTGCACATCTATTTAAAAAGGCGTAATTTATTATTTGATTACTTCTCAGATAGCACAGTTGAACTTTATGAATTCATAAAGATCAGATTCAGATCTTTTTGAATTCATAAAGATCAGCTGTGCTATCTGGGTTGCCATTAATTAATTATTGTAATCGGTGTAAACTATATAATAATATAATAATATTATAATATTATATTATAATATTTGTGAAATTGGCCAGACTCTTTACTTGAGGGTCTCTAATAAATAGCTGAACTTTCATATATTATATATGTAGTGAACGTGAACGAACCGATCCCTTACATAAGTAAGATTAAAATTTCTTCTTTTTCTACTCTTTTTACGTATATATATATATATGTCATTGTCTGGTGCAGAATAATTGCAGAATAATAGACGAACTTAGCTGCACTAGTTCAGAGTTTATCTCTTTTACTCCACATTGGAAGGAAAAAGATAAACTCTGAACTCTGAACTGATGCAGCCAGTTCAGCAATACCAAACATCCAATATCGGAACGCAACCAGTGGCACAGACTTCTATACAATTAGAAGTTTGTGGTCTGTGGCCTGTGCTGATGCGCATGATTGCATATGGCTGCGCAAGAGGAGGTTAGTTAATCCTGCTTTATGAAAAACAACTTGTGGCGATCGTGAACCTGGTGTGCGAGACGATGTGATCAATCACCGGAGGATCTTGGCGAAGAACAACGATAATTTCTCGGAGACATGCACTCGATAAAGGTACGCCTGTGAACCGATCAGCTAAGTAGCCACGGCTTCTAATCGGTCTCGATTATGTAGCTGCCGTTACATGGACAACGCATAACGGACTAACGGATATCGTTCTGAGGTTAAAATCCTAGCTGAATATGGCGCAAATACAGACGTCGACGGTGGACGGGCTGCCGAAGCACTTCGTCAACGCGATGCGCACGCTGTTCGACATAATGGACGATCAGAATACCGGTTTCGTCAAGTTCGTCGATATCGAGGGCCGATGGCAGGACGACGGCACGCAGGGCCTGCCCAAGGGTGTGCTGGATAGCCTGAAGAAGGTCACGCCACCGAACGGAATGCTGTCGTTCGAGAGATTCTGCGCCGGTCTCAAGATCTGTTTGCTGCAGATACAGGCGGAGGTGGACGCGAAGAAGCACGACAGCCAGCCCAACAGGCCGCCCTCCGCGCCGATACTCATTCCCGATAGTCAGAACAAGGCGGTTTGGACCTCGCCCAACACCGCCGCTATAAGACCCAACAACGCCATATCCCAGCAACGTACCCTCAGTATGCCGCAGCTGCTGGCCAATCGCAAGGACGTGAACGCGCAGCTGGAGCTGATGGACGGGAGGAACATCGGCGAGCCGAAGATCAACAAGGTGTACGGCCCGCCGAAACCGCCGCGGACCGGCGCCGCGTTGGAAGGCAGAACGATGGGCCTGGAACGTAATTTTGACAAATCTGAGATTAGGACGGCACTGCAAAACTGGCAGATGGGTCTCATGATGAGCGACGAGAAGGAGAAGCGTCAGCTGCAGGCGGTAAATTACAGGCCGGACCCCAGGACGCTGTTGAGACCGGCCAGAGTGCTGGGCGATGGCAAAGCAGTTGATATACAGAGTAATCAACTCGGTCTTCAAGCCAAGAAACCATTGAATCGCCGCAGAGAGCCCAGGCGGCACACGTTGCAGAATGGTATTGATTACAATATGGTAAAGATGTTCTCCTCTAGGACTCCCGACTAACCCTTGGTGATTGGTTCTGGGTATGCACTAACTGAGTATTAACGGCGATACATATCTCTTAAGAATGAAAGACATGTGTCTCCCATAACTTTAATTAGTTTTTAATTAACATAAATCTCATTCGTGTATAATAGGCGACACAACTCATTATTCTTTTTGGACATTCCAAAATATTTTCATAATACATAACGCTTTCAGATGAAAAGGATGAAGCAGATTGAGCAGGAGAAGGATGTGTTACTTCAAGGTCTAGCTGCTGTTGATAAAGCTAGAGAATGGTACTTGAAGCAGATAGCAATCACTCAAGAGAAGATTAAGCATCTCGGACAAATGGGTTCCCATGTGGTATAGAAAAGATACTTTTCACCCTTTTAACGTTATGTGGAGCTCTGCACAAAATATGTACTGTTATATTTCACGTAGGAACAATGGACAGAGGCACAGCAAGAGCGCTTGGAACTGCAACGCGCGCGTGTTCTGGAAGTAAATCGGCATTTAGCTGCCTTGATAAGTAGCTGGGAACGCGGAGGACTTCCCCTTCATATGAATCTTGCGTTCCTGAGTGCTCCAACCTCGGCCCAGCTTCAGCAAGATATGTTGTCAAGGCTTAAACAACAAAATCACAGATTAACCGAGGTAATGAATAATAATAACGCATTATATAAAAGAAATGGTGAATAACTTAATTTAATCTATTTTTTTTTTTGGTGCGCCACCAAAACAGGAAGTTAGCAAAAAGAGCCAACGAATAGCGTTACTCGAGCAAGAAAAAGATAGTCTGGTTAGAGAATTATATAATAGACAGTCTGGTCTGGTGCAGTCCCGAAGAGCGACAATGATCCAGGAACAACACGATCAAACATTCATGTAAGGTACTAACATTCAAAATTAAGTATAACGAATAAAATCAACAATCCCTGATTTTATTTGAAAATATTCTTTTCAGAATATGAGGTTCCCAGGTTTTAGAGAATGTGCCACATAAGTGATAGAATTTGAGTTAAACTTTAAATAAAATAAAGAGTTAAAGAAACTAATGTGAAAAAAGTGGTTGATTAGCGCTTCCATGTTGTACAAATGTACTAATAATGCCGGACGTTCCAGTTGGAGTACTCTACAACAATAAATGAACAAAATCGTGTTTTAAACATTCCAAAATGTTTATAATGCCATGTAGAACACATTTTTAAAATATGAAATATTTGACATATTGCGTTAAAATAATTATCGCTGTCTTATTAATTTGATATTTTATATTAAGGATGTAAAATATTCATTAATAGAATATGCAATTAGATACAATTTATAGTAATAGGTGACTAAAATTGCCTTAACATCTCTGTAATCTGTTAAAAAAAACCCGTTTTAATAAATTATTTTAATTATGTAATAAATATTTCCTCTTGTTTAATATATGTAAATCTATTATAATTTTAAGTCGGTTAAAATTAATATGTATAATCTTATACATTATGCAGTATTATTTGTGATAAACGCATGATGCGGGTGTGCACTATTGACATATCGATCTTGATCTCATAGAATTTTTTATTAAATCTTAGTGCTTTGTTAAGAGCGATAAATTTTACGGGTCTGTCTCCATGACACACATTTCATCAATTTCCGGACTTAGAAGCCTGCCAGTGTCAAATGTTATCGAATTCTGAAAGGCGATAGCACATAATGATGATACGTCGTTATATCCGTTGGTTTAGATCTTGCTCAATAGAACTCATTGCTCATTATTACAGAAAAGCATTTCATGCATGACTCGAAAATTGAAGTAACTTCATAAATGATCAATACTTCTAATATTATTTGGGTTGTTCTATCATTGGAAGTCATTAGTGTAGTCGACAAATCATAATATATTTACCGATTTCGCTAATATTGCGAGATAAATAAAGAATCGTGTGGTCTCGTGTATTAGGTGTTACTGTTTTCGTCTTTTGTGTTTACAATACGAATATCTGCTCTAACAAAGGACAAAAGATTGAGCGTTACTAAAATTGATTACAATTATACATGAAGAATAAAGAAAATTAGAAAATCAATTGAATATAATTTCGAACATGCGTATATAAGAATTGCTTTTATTTCTTAAAAATAAAATAAATAGAAAGCGCTTTATTTCTTAAATCGATACACATTCCCTCAATAATATGCTATCTCATCTTAATTGCATTATTATTTTATCTGTGTCGGAAATTAATAAAAATATATCCAATTGACCTGCTAGATTATTCAATTTAATTGTCTGCGAAAAATGTCGATTTTTTCATCATGAGAGCTACCTTTTATCTCGCGTCCAAAAAGATCTATGAAGACAGTCTTTTTTTCATGACGAAAATAGACTCACTATGCTGCAAAGACTGATAATTTGGTATACATATAGTCGTACAGTGATAACGGATAAAAAGCTTAATTCGTGAAACTTTATCAGAAAATAAAAAAAACTGACATAAATCTTAAATTGCGTCAAGTTACAATAAAGACATTACGAATAGCAATATCTCGACATTGCATTTCAAAGATCATAAAATGTAAGCTTTTCACACTAGAAAATATTATGTAAAATATTATATATAAGAATTAAAGCTCCGTGTGTGTGTGTGTAAACATTCTTTAAACATTTCGACGTATGCGATTAAATTCTCTGCGCATCTCAAAAACGAAGTTTAAAATTTGCAAGAAACCTTTCATTCTTGTTAATAAATTGATTAACGTTGCAGAAAAGAAATGCATGATTTCGTGTCTCAGGCATTATTGCGGATGTCAGCGGATGTCGAGTTCTACCCCACGCATAAATTCTTCAGCGATTGGACGGCTTCTGCACAATCGTAACTAGTTTAGCGGTCCACGACAGTTAGCTGCCACTAGTCGGCGGATTCGGTCGACTCGGCCGCTGTATCGCTCCCGAACGGCACGGCGAGCGCTTCTCCCGTTGCGACGTCGACGAGAGAACGCGCGCGAGGAGAGAGACCGCACCGATCCCCTGTCCTGTGTGGAGTCTGTCGACCTTTGACATTGGGCCGGCGACAGAAGCCTACCAAGAAAACGCCGAGCGGTCGTCGATCTCTCCCCTTCGACCTCCCCTCTTGGATTATCGCCGTCCACGATATCTTTTGTGTGACTTTTTGACGTCTCTTGTCTCACCTCATCTGAGAACATCATGCTACCAAGATTGATGCTGTCGGTCGCTCTACTCCTTTTAACAATGGGTATGTTGTATTATAATATCGAGTTCCAAACGATGAATTATAAGTATTTCCATAGATAAAGATACTTTAAATATTCAAGGTATCATTAAGTGCTTAATCAATTCTTCCAGAATGTGTTACAGATTTTTATAAATTACTAATTAAATATATATATAAACGCCAGAGACTATAACAATTAGCAATTGTATGTGATCAACATAACTAATACACTCATCGGATTTTAGATGTATCCAAGACATTTCTCGGTTTAAAATTTGATTTTATTTATATTCCGTCCACACAACGAGAGATCATGGTTGATCAAACGTAAATAACGATAGGGCACAGAGCCGCAACAAGGTGTTCGCGTTAAATTATTTTCATTTTTAATAGTGTTGGAAAATAAATATCACCTTGTTGCGGCTCTGTGCCCTATCGTTATTATTTACGTTTGATCAACCATGATCTCTCGTTGGACGGAGTATAGACCATCACTTAATCTACGCCTTTTTCTTGTTACTATGTTTTATTTTCTGCAATATAAAACATAAAATTTTCTCTATCTTTATTTAATCCTTTTCTTAGACAATAATTTCAAACGAATTAGTTTTATTTGAATATGAGTCATTAAATCATCAGAAGCAGATTTTTAATTACAGACTTTAATATTCCTCGAAATTATTACGGTCTCCTCAGCAAAATTAATCTCCCATAGAGTAGCAGTAATATATGAAACGCGCTCTCTCAGTTTATTTTCTGAATAATCAAATGATAAACCCATCATACCGATAATAATGAACGGCACTCTCAATGATGGACATCCCACACACGCATCCTTTCTGATTACGTCGCTACAACGAGCCGCGTATCGTCTGTAATTAATAAATTACCCTTGAATGAATCGAAGGGAGAAGTACAGGAGCGCAGCGTTTGCTAAAAGAAATTAAAAATTACTGGATAATACGTTGCTGCAAGATATCCACACGTTGGCGAGATAGATCGCAAGTGTCATGCATTAGGTCGAGAGTAAACGAATCTAAAAATCGATTAGCCCACGCATGGTATCCTCTATCTCGTGAAACGCTTATCAATTTAGACAAGTGGGAAGTGCAGGCCGACCGCATCCGGCGCAAACATTCGCTTCCATTAAAACACCACTATCTCTCCTCGGGGTAAATAAACCGTAGATATTTTCACTACATCTGTGGTACATTCACCTAAAAATAATGCAGATAATTAATAAATATAGAACCGCGTCTATCAATTCTTCTGATAATATGCATTGAAATAGTTCTTAATAAACACACAGTAACAAATATAGTAAAAAAAGAGCCTTATTTTTAATTCTTTTTTGTTATTTCTGAACCACTGAATACTTTTTTATTGCGGTTTCTTCGACCAATATAATTTTTTTTTCTCTTGAAAATATCCAAGGCATTCATTATTTATTGCATCTTTCTCCATATTCAATATTATATCTTTATGTATTAAGTCTGAAGTTAAAATTCTGTTGAAGTCAGCTTGTGAAATTGATTGCGAAACAAAGCTTTTTTGTTTCCTTTACTGCTTATCTCATTAAGAATTCCTTATTTTTAAACATTAATTACTTGAAAGTCATATGTAAGTTCTGTTATTGAAGAAAAATTAATTCCAGTTAAATTAAAACGTTTGTTAAAAAAACATCAGAGGTATTCTGCAAATGCGATTTCTCGTTCAATTTAAATAATTCAATAATTCAATAATTGCTTATTCAACGCGGTCTAATTAACACCAAGCTTTTTCTTGTTCAGGAGTTATATTGTCGAAGGGGTGCGAGTTGGATCAGATGCGATACGGATGTCGCATCTACAATGCACAATGCAGTTGCGGCTACGGCTGCAAATCCGAATATAGATATGACAACAATGATGATTGCAAGTTAGCGCTGAAAGGTAATGACAAACTATACTTGCTCTTACTTGATCTGTTAAATCGGTAGAATAACAGACATTGACGATGTACTTTACACGCTTCTTGAGAGTTTTAAACTCGTCTCGTTACAGGAAGACGTAGCGACATATGCTCTCGATCGAAACCATGCCTGAACGAAGGCTCGTGTTCCCAAATATCGTCGGAGCCCGGATTTAAGTGTCGTTGCGAAGGAACTGGATTTTATGGCACTTACTGCGAGACACGTTAGTACCTTTCAATGGCAGCAGATAATTCGACTTAACTTTCGCAGTCTCAATAATGTTGTTTTCTTATACATTAAATCTTTGCATATTAAATCACCTGAATGATTGAATAACATTAGAAAGCAAAGAACATTTTAGTAGAAAAAAAGATATATTAATTAAATATTAAAAAGTCCTCGCATGTTTTGAGTTTTTCTCTCAACATGGAGAATATATTACGATGACGCAGACGAAAGAGGAAAAATTAACACGAATAATTTATATGTTACAGCTTGTCCACGACCAGACAATACACTTTTCCGAGGACAATTCCCTTACGAGTGCGTCGTGATCTAATTCCAATCTGTCCTCTTATTTTGATCTGAAATTCAAATTTGTCTTAATATGATACGTACATACAGGGAAAGAAACGCATTTCATAAAGCATATTTACACACATCTTTGTACATACATAATAAATATTAAAACACACAGATGATACGCCGTTCCATTTCTCATTTTGCATTCTCCATTCAGCCTTTTTGTAACCGCGACCTCGGAAATAGTTCAGCTAAGTATTGAAGTTACACCGCAAAATAATTTCGCGGTTTTGAAAGAGCTTTGACGTTTCATAGAAGGTAGATACATTTCGATGCTTCCACTGTTTATTCATCAATAATTTTACAATATGTATGCACATGATGTGTTGGATCCATGAGTTTCGGGACAAGCGCTTAGTTTGTATCGTGCTTGTGTACTTTACCTTATTTTACGTTATTTCTCTCATATCTCTACAATAATGCCACATGTACCTCGCCTTACCGTTTCAGATGGCAAAACTTATAAAACGTGACTTTTTACTCTTTACATAGGTATTTTTTTTTTGTAATTTCCATTGTTGCATGTCCACAGAATTAGTAATACTAATTTGATTTTACAACACTGCATTAGAGGAACTTAACGACATGTATATATATTTATATATATATATTTATTTATATATATATATTATCTAAGATAAACACTTGGCCAGTCATAACTCTTCCCTTTCTTTTTTACAAATTTATAGACATCTTTTTAACAAAGTGACTCAATATCGTAATTGATTACAACAAAACACACTGCTCATAATAAAATTATTCAGCAAATTCCGGTAAAGAATCTATAGCAGGATATTTTTCTTCAATTTTTTTTAGTATCAATATCTCGTAGACTCTAGTATTTGCTTGCAATGTTTTTTTTCCTTTTTTTTGCCCATTGTACATTTATATCACATATGATATACATAAAAAGTAAAACAAATTTTGAAATAAATCATATAAATAAAGTTTGTATATCAATATGTATAATATATACTTTTTATAAAGACATATCTCAGATACAAGCAGGCAGCTAACAGTTCAACCTGTAAATATTCTGGGACGTCTTTTGGTACTTTATTTTCAAGTAGTGAATTGATGTATTTACCAAACTTCCATGAAAATAGAAACATACTAATAAAAAAATTTCGACAAATCTTATCTACCAATACTATCCCATTACGTTTAGAAAAGTAACAATCGAATAGATAGCCTAGCAATAAATTCATGATGTGGGAAATTAATTAAAGAGATAAACCAATTACATATTAGAGTAAATTCTAACATTATCTGAATGTAAGAACCGCCTTTTTATTCTTTTTCCTCCCGTTTCCTCCCTTTATGAGGTGATAAAATGAGTCGTTGTTTATTTATTTATTTTTTTTACTTTTATATTATTTCGGCCCTTGGTCACCATCCATTTTCAGATTATTATCATTATAATTATTGTTGTCACATTAGTCTGAATTTGGCAAACGTTTACGACCATGCTTACAATAGTAATCTCGGTATCGAAGTGTATGGACTAAAAACAAATTGTAGATTACAATTTGGATAATTAATAGCCCAGTCTCATTAGCTGCCCAGGCGCATTATTCTTCTATGGCACCAGGAATACGCTGACATCTTTCCTGCGTGAACCCGCGCGTGCCATCGGGCCCTTTTGGTTGCCTGACCACAGTTAATTTTGGGCCCGAATCTTCCAACGATATAGTACGTAATCGGCTTATTAATCGCTCGGGTCGTTGCTGGACAGCATCGCTGTTAAGCAATAAAAGTTTGCAAATAAAATCGCACTGCCACCATTTATATAAAAACAAAAAAAAATGAATTTACCTTAATCGAGTTACATTGCACGCTGACGATTTGCCAGTGCGTTGATTAGTGACCAAAACGAACTCCACCTGATCTCCTGGCTGCAGCGTAACGTGATCTCGAACCTCACTTACGTGGAAGAATAATTTTCTGCCCTCATCGACTTCGTAAGCGAGAAAGCCGAAAGGACCCTTCATCGCGTCCACAGTTGCTCTTCTTTTTTTCCTGACGGCTACGATATTACAAGCGTGACCTGCTGAATCGACCTGCAGTTGCACAGGATCGCCAGCCTGCAATAGCTCCCGTTTGTTAGAAAGTCCCATGATGCCGAATTCATATTCCGGCGTCTCCTCATCCTCGGTAGTTGGATTAATCTTGATCAAACCAGCGTACTCAGCCTGCTCAGGATTCGCACTTCGCAGCGGTCGTACCACAGTGCCGTCGAGTACCTCGCTGACAGGTGTTGGCCTAGGAATACTTCCGCGAGGCACCAATTTAACATGATCGGCAGCTACGCAACCTCCGGAGCCTCTTCCGTTACTCGAATTACCAATTGTACATTCGATATCAGCCCCTAGTTCCAATGTACTAGCGTCTCCTTCAAAGTTACTGCGAATAAAATGTTATTTTATACATATATGTATGTATGCATGTATCGTTCACCGCAAAAATTAAAGTATAGCTCTCACCTGTAGTGAAAAAATATTTCTCTATCATGATTTACTGTTTCAATAAAGCCAAACCCGTCTTTGAGGGCGGCAATAAAACCTTGACATACTTGTCCATTTGATTTTTTATTAACATTTTGAATTTTTTCACCAGCGGCATTTACTAAAAATATGTCTTCAGCAACAAGTTCTTTATTTCGTTTCACTTGAACAATATTGAACATTACCTATAAAGCCAAGTAAATACATAAGTATTACTTGATAGCATTATAACAAATATACAGAGCATTCCATATTTCTCCAAAAAGTGAAATATGGATCGATTTTTTTTTTATATAACTTTGTATCAATTTACCTTATCACCCAATTTTGGAATATGTTTAGGGTCGCAATCTTTGGAGAAGAAAATGATGCTTTTCTGCTGGCCATAAGAAATAAGGCCAGGTTCCATCGAATTTGTGTCCTGTGATACAGTACCTAATATATCCTTCTCTATAATGGTTTGAAATGTTACGGTACCCATTGGCAAATGTTTCAGTCTAATAGCACTTTGTCGAGTATTAGAGAATGATGATGACGGATCCTTATAAAAAAAAAAAAGAATAAAATTATAATTAAGATACAAAAGAATAAACTGTAATAACAAAAGAACTTTTTTAACGCTGAAGTATATTGCTAACATATACTCACTTGTACGACTGTAAATTCAACTTCATCCCCTACACTAATTTCTCTATCAACATCAAGAACCTCATTAAAATGAAAGAAAAGTCTAGGTTCTCTTTCTACACAACGAATAAAGCCAAATCCATCCTTGAGAGATTGTATTACACCTTGCTCCCGTCTTTCCCCAGACACAGTGAAAGATTCTGGTAACAACATTATCTCTGTAGCTCTTTTGAGCTGATCTCTAGTATCTGTTGCAATACGAAATTGGACCCAGTCCCCATGCCTGTTAAAGAAATCAAATTGCAATACATTACAGTTGTGTATATAGCTATCTATATTACATTTAAAAACCGCGTTATTGCATTTAAATAAATAACATACGTTTATATACACAAGAATAAAATAGAAAAAAATAAGTACATTTATTAATTCGTGTAGATTACCTAAGAGTGAAGTCTCCCTTTTGATCTTTATCACCAAAGGGTACTTCAACTTCAGAATGATCACTGTCTCTGTATCGAATGCGACCAGGTAACGGATCATTTTGATGACGAGCAGCATTGCCTCTCTCCAAAGGTTTCAACACTTGCCCTTTCACCACTTCGTTGCTGACTTCCTCAAATACAATTGAGCCGGGCGGTAACTTTGTAATGTTGCAAGCTACCTCCTTCCCCTGCAACAAAACATTAGATTTCAGATTCTTTGTTACTTAAACTATATGCTACATATATAAATACCTTTTCAAGAAACGTATATACAGTTCTTTGTTAATTTTAATCTTACTTACATTGCGTGTCTGTATTATAAACTCCACATCATCTCCTAACCTAAGTTCTTCTTTCATAGATTTAGCCTCGCTAAAGTGGAAGAATATCTCTTTGACTACATCAGCACGCTCGATAAAACCAAAATTTTCTTTCATTGAGCAAACCACTCCGCGATAACGAACTGGATGTGCTGGATTTTCCAGCCTTACATTACATGCACCCAGATTTCCTCTGCAATATATTTGCGTATGTAAGAAAGAGAAATTACTACTTATACAAGTTTTTTTTCAGTTAACAAGTGCTATATATTATACCGTTGATTAGTAGCGATTTGAAATGACACTTTATCACCAGCACGTAAGGTGACATTTCCCTCAACATCATCTTTGGTATATGGCAGAAAAAAACATTCCCCACGGTTTTCGTAACTGATACGTCCCTGCGAATCGCCACTAGCTTGTAACTCCGTTGTTACATTACCGATGCATCGTTGATCACCTAATGCCTAAAAGAAATTATATCCACACATTTACTTTCTTGTAAATTCTTTTTACATTTCTCCACCACTCCCTTATTATTACTGCTGTTATTGTTTTACTAACCACTGGCGCGATTTTGCTAACAGTGCTCGCAATAGGCTTGCCTGTTCGTCGATCGTAAGTCATTTCAAACTCTACCGGATCTCCAATCTTCAAATGCTCAATATTACCGCTAAATTGGCTAAAATGAAAAAACAATCTTGCCTGTCTTTCGCAGCATTGTATGAATCCATAAGAATGCTGTTGAATAAAAACGACGTATAAATTACTCACTTATACGTTTCATAATTATAGATAATCAAGAGTTCTATGGCTATGATACTCACCAATAACTTCTCAATTATACCAGTTTCCCGGGTTCCTTGATTCGCAGATTGATCCTGGTAGGTAGAATTATTGGTGGCGGGTTCGCTCGTATACCCAGCATTCGTCTCCATACCCGTGAATTCGAACGGGAATCTTGTGGCGCCATTGCGTGGCGACGATTGCGTGCCGGGATAACTTCCATAGTTAGTAGTGGAATTTTTACCACAATCAGGCGGTGAGCCCATATAATGGTCACCGCTGTAGTTGGTACCGTTTCGATAATTGTTAGACGTCGGCTGATGAGATCCCGTTATGGCCTTAGGACTTGGTATAGCCATAGACTTGTAGTCAAGTATTGCTGGGTCAGAGTTCATGATTGGCGGCTGGAACGTTTTCCACTGAGGATTGTTGGACATTGTCTTTTCAATTTGCGCAGTGTTATGTGTAATATTTACGTATAATTTAGCTCTTCTCCTCTCTCTCTCTCTCTCTCTTGAAACAATTACTTTAATTTCTTTTATGTTCACACTTCTGTTCTCTCACCCCACAATATATATACTTATATTTAGAAATTTTTAGTCTTTTTTTTCAATTATTTAAGTGTTTAACATAGATATCACAGAACGGTTCTTGGTACCTTATATCTTTGTTCACTATTATAATGTTACAAGAACTTAATGAAGAGGAAGAGTGGCTCCTTGAAAATGCTGCAGAAATGCAGGCTCCTTCGTGACCAGAAAGTGGAAGTGAGGTCTCTTGAAAATCTTTTTAACGCGTTTATCGTGAATTATTATTTTTATTCAGAGAGTACCACGGTGGCTCGACGCACAAACTTGGCACACTCCTTAAACGCGGATAAAGGTGGTTTCTAAGCAACCAAGCAGAGCAGCACAATTTCAGCCGCAATCACAATCACGGTCACTGTAATTGGCTCACCTATCTCTCGCTCACAAGGCTTGTCGTGTATATATAATATACAAATGAACGATGCAGTTAATGCTGGTTTTACGACTTAATACAAGTACAAAATCTTAGCACACCATACACTTGTCAATACTTTCCATACGTATATGCTTGAATATTATAACAACTGTTTGATAGATACTCAATTTAGCGTGCACTAGAATAACTGTGTTTTTCCCTTTTAAACATCAGTCATCCCTTATAAAAAGGAGTAAATCAAAAACATAGGAGATTTTTAAAGGATAAATGTTGACTTGAAAATCCTCAGATGTCTTCAATGCGTGCTGAGTCTGATTGTGTTCTTCCGATATTTCTATAGTAACGTTTCCTTCTTCAGAGCTTTTAAATGTGAAATTTACAGTGAGCCTTGGTTTCAGAAGTGTCCTAAACTAACAATGACACAAGCTGTAAAAGAAAAAGAAAAAGAGGAGACAATTACAAAAGTTGAACAATCACTTTGCAAGTACAATAAGATATATTTAGAGATATACTGTTTATCATTTTGAGAATTGCGAGCTCTGTATCCAAACATTAAAATACACAAACGTTAATTTCTACAATATTTTGTGACACAAATTAAACTAAATATATGGATAAAATAAATAATTCATAAAAATCTCGAAATTTTTATGTATAAAACAGATAAATCTTGCAAATAATATCGTTCGAAGCAAGACAAAGACGACAAAGAGTACAAAGAAGCTAATCACGATGTATCGCACGTGCTCTAAATAAAAGTATCAAACGGCAGAAAATACTAAGGATTTTTATACTCTGCCGTAACAACAGCTCCAAATGCGTTCAAATAAAAAAAATCAATTAAAAATCGTGGAAAATCCGCACGAAAATGCAAACGTGAATTTCAGTAGGCATTTCAAACGCGCACGTGATCCGCGAGCCTAAACACGTAAGTACTTAGGTTATTTCATCCCTGCAGGGACGTGAGAAAAAAAAAAGGAATATTCCGGAATCCGAGAAGAAACGACCCGAGGTGAAATAACACAACGCCGTTTATTTATAGCGCGCCGCGGCGAGACAAACACAGACGCTTCTGCCCGATTATCGGGACAGTTTGACATTGACACCGCGAAAGGGGGATACCGAAACCTACTGTTCGTCAGCGCGTGAGAATTGCGTCTGACGCGAAGGCGTCGCACGGCGCCGCAGCATGTACCACAGTACCATAGGGGGACGTGAGTCATGACCCTCGGACACTCCGCGCTACAAATCTCCGCCGCGAGCCTCATCCCGCTCGCGCTATCTCAACCGACAGCGGACGCGATTACGCGTGAAACGTTCGCGGAAATTCGAAAGGGGGTGGCGCGGATCGAGAGCGGCGACGAGAAACGGGCGAGATCCTTCGACAGATCGTGGACGTGGCGTCGATCATCGGCCCCCGCCCGGCCCCCCTCGAGCGTGTCCTGCTCGCGGCCGCGGTTTCGCGGATTCCTCCTTTCCGTTCCGGAGCGGCCCGCGGTCGAGGCGGTTATCATGCGTGCGCCTCGCACGCGTTTTTACGAGAGGTTGATATTTTTATGAGGTCGCGGGGCGCCTTATCGCGCGCCGCGGCGATCCGTCGCGAGTCGCGAGGCCGCGGCGTGCCCCCGTCCGACCGTCCCGGGCCCCAAATCGACCGGCGATCGTCGGCGCGGATCGCGCCGATCAGTTTGACACGCGTTTCCACACAGAGCTCGCAATTATCGGGCGACGGGAGGCCTTTACGAGACTCACCACGACACAGCACAGCACTGACGACATGCCGCCATGTTGAATGTCAACATTCGGCGTTCGCATACATCCCAGCGGGAGCGACCACGAGTTTCCTGTGTGCGCGCTCGCGCACTCCGGATCTGCCGCGGTGGAAACGGGCCTTTTTGCCGGGAGGTCCCCCTCGATTTTTCTCGAACAGATATACAATTTGCGTGCTTTTCGACCGACGCTTTTTTGCACGTTTTCTCGGACGATAAGGAAATCGCGTGGCAAAGGCTGTTTTGCAATCTTTTATTTTAATTATTTTCATTGATGTCGTTCCTAGTTGCCCCTAGAGAATGAATTTTCTTATTGCTTCACCTAAGGACGATCTCGATCAAACTCCAATTAATTTCCGGTGTTCTAAATTTAATATTTTTTATATATTAATAAAAAATTGAGAACTGTATTCATCGCGACGAAATATTAGATCCCTGGTGAAAAAATTTCTCACATTTTCTTAAAAATTTTGTGAGAATTGGGACTTGTAAAAAATTTATTAAAATATAAGTATATAATTTCTCAGATACTTCAGAAATTATTAGACGAGAATTTTCGGAATATTTCCAGCATCCATATGTATGAAAATTTCTGATAAATTGTATAAATTTTTTCATATTTACTCAGATTTCTGCAAAGATATGTTGGGGGGAAAATCTGAAATATTTTATTCTCATTGTGTCTGAGTTTTTCTGAAAAAACGTTGTAATTCGTATAGAATAGAAAAATCTGAAAAATTATGAGCATTCTGATGAAGTTCGAGCAGTTTTATAATTTTTAAGAAATTCTGATTAATAATTGACATTTTTTCACCGGTGATATTACTCGACAATTGCCGATTACATTAATGGGAATTTTGTCACTTTAATCCTAACGCTTACTTCTACCAATGCAGATTAACTTTAGATTAACTAATAATTAGCAAAAGATAAAAAGTAAGTTAAACCGATGTTAAAGTCAATCTACATTGGTAGAAATAATGGAGATAAATTGATCCAAAAAGTATTTCAATCTGTTCGTCAAGTCTATATATTTTATAAGAGATATTGCTGTATTTTTTTATATTAAATCAATCATCTTTCACAAATATACTTTGTATTTTAAATATATTATATGTATATATAAACTGTCACACATATACACGCACACATTTAGATCAGAATTGGTCAGTAATGGCAGATTTCTTGCTCAAACGGTTTTATTCCGAGAACGATTAGTATAACAAAGTTGAGAGAAAGAGAGAATCAACGAGACATCAACAAGAGCTCCGCTCAGCTTCAACGACCCAGAAGTGAAGGAACCAGAAGAAGAACATCGATCCCCTCTGACATGTGTCTCTCTTATCTTATTAGTGTACAAAGTGACATACCTTGTCGAGCTCAATCACTCGGTCGTATAATTTATAATACAACGGTCAGTTTAGTAATAGACATTTTTTGTGCAGAGTTCATGCTTATTGTTAAGTGTTCAGCTTCGCGGGGGTCTCACTGTTGGACGCCCTTGTGTAGATGCCGAAGTGATTCAGCCGACGCCAGCGTAGATCTTCGGGATCGGGGGTTGGTGGGGCGGTGACACACTCGAGACTCAGCTGCAGCGCTCGTCTCAGCTCGTCATCCTCGTCGGTGTCGTTCGCCATCTCTTTTAAATGCGTCGTCTTGTCGTCGGTGTGAAGATCCAGTCTCAATTTTAGCGTCTTGTCCACATCGTCCTCGTCATTCTGCAAACTCATTTGCAGGGCCCTAGCTAATTGCACATTTTCGTCCTCCTCCTCGTCGCTCTTCTCTTCCCTGCCCTCAATTCTTATGGGGATTATCCTTTCGCGAGGTTCGTCCGTGGATAGTCCAGGTTTGTGCGAGAACGAGGACACGTCGCTGATTGCACTCGAGGATTGCGGGACCTTCACTTCACCCATCGCAAGAGCGGTTTTCAAGATTTCGTCTTCTAGCTTGGTGCCTAAGCGATTGCCTTTCGACGTGGTTTTCGACTCCGAGTTTGAATTGTTTTTCGTCGCAACTATGGGATTTTTCAGAAGTACATCCTCGGCGGGACATTGCGGAAAGGTGCCGATAACAATAAAAATAGAATAACCTGTAAGAAGGATTGGCGATTGAGACATATCTTACTACTTTTCGTTATTATCTCGTTACGCTACTGCTTACCTTCTTGTAATAATTGAGCTAGGTACATTGTGAGGTATGTGTCTGATATAAGCTGGGGTCCGCTAAGCATTGAATTTAAATTAAACCACTGACTTCCGAGTTTTCTTATTGTAAACCAATGTCCCTTATAATTACAAATATACGCTCTCATCCGCCTGAAAATTACATCGCCACTTCACGCATTATCTTATAAGATTATTGTAAATAAAATTACTTGTTTTTATATCTTTGAAAGAGAGTACACTTGATATATAAATGTATATAAATAAATATGTTAGTATATAAATATTACTTGATTCATATGTGTTAAATTGTGTGGATCTGTTAATTGTTCTAAAAGCAATTGAAAAATCATTGGAAAGAGAGTGCTCTTCTGCGAGTGCGATAGAACAGAATGTCTCAAGGCACAGCGCAAAAGTGGACCCGAACAAATTATCAATAACCTACGAAGGATCGTTCTGTGCCAGTAAAGCTGTCGGTTCCGTGCTGTTATATGGAATCAGTTCTAAACCCCAAACTTTCAAAGCACTGCTAATAACTTGAACTGAAAAGTATCCGCTGTCGTCCATGTTTCCCGATGGTTGCTAAACATAAGAAGCAATTTGAGGTTGTTACAAACAGTACTGTGCTCGGCTCTCGGCGGGGAATAATAGACAAGGGTCAAGCGAAAAGGGAACTTTTGAAAGGGTTGACGGTCTTTTCTGTAATTTAAACCTCGCGTGATGCTCCTACATCGTCGAGTATCGCCAACTGATACAGCGAGGGGCTCCAACGTTGTGTTTACCTCGAGGAACAGCTTGTAATCCTCGCTGTCAACGCCCGACTCGGCCATCCGGATCCTCTCCTCCTCGTCCATCTGGTGGCCGAAGTTTGCCAGATCGACGGCGTTGAAGTACGGGCCTTGTAGAAGCGCGTTCAGGCAGTGCTGGGCGCACAGGTATCCCTCTTGCTGCGAGGAAAGAAAAAAAAAAAGGAAACATTGAGCGAGGAGAAACGTGAGAGAGCGCGACACCCGCGCACGGTGACGACGTCGAATTGATCGTCGCGTTTACGTTATTCACCTTCTCGTGAAATATACTCTCCATTGCACACAAGTCCGCCCGGCGATAACACCGCGGATAATAACGCTGAACCCCGCGCGCACGTCAGACGCGTAATAACAACCGTAAAACGTATCGTCCCTCCGATGATCTCGGCCGCGCGAGAGAAAACGTCATCCGCAAAAATATTTTCAGGCTACAGTCACGAACGTGCGATTACCATCGTGTCGCACCGCAACGCGACGGCACGTCGTCCGATTCCCACCCTCACCACCCCCCCATCCCCCAATCCTGCCATCCAAAAGCGTTCGAGATCTTGCGAGAACTCGCCTTTACTTTCGGAGCGCGGCCAACGTCAGGGCCAGTGTTGCCCACCCTGGTGAAATTTCACCTTTGGTGATTTCTTTTCTATTCTAAAAACTGGTGAAAACTTTCCGTAAAAAGCAAAAATCTGGTGATTTTATCGCGAATTCAAACCGTAGCTGCGTTCCGCGATATTCACTGTCAGTACTGAAAATCTATAGTTTACGTAACGTACATACACTATAGATTTTTAGTATTTGCAGTGAATATCGGAACGCAGCCCGCAATTATCATGCGCTCCGCAAGTGACTACGTCGATTGGTCGCCGATCACGTGTCTAGTGCGGCCATCTGCGCGTAGCAGTATCGCTCTGAATATGCGAGTCCCGATTGGTTGATGGTGTCGTCGGGAGGGCATGTCTTTCGCTGCGATTTCCGTGGCGGCAATCGGCATGTGGTGGTTGTTGTTCGCCCGAAGTTCATTTGTATTTTGTAGTGACTTGTATATATGTACATACTCTGTTCTCTGTTTATACTGGCCCGTATTGAAGGTCATCAAATCAAAGAAGAAGCAGTCAATAATAAGCAGCTGATTTGTATAGGTGAACATTTGAATATTTTTCTAACTTTCTAACTTTAACGGTGCGAACACAAAAAACTCACAACGACATAACGTTCAGCGAAATATCATGGGAGCTTCGTCGTGAAATCCGCAACGATCATCTACGAAAAGCCAATTGTCACTCGTAATCAAGCGGATTATTGTCGATTTTCCATCAGCGGAGTTGATAAAATGAATATAGTGTGCGTAATATGTAGTGATTTGCTGGCACCATCCGACGATGTTTTCCACACACCCTGTGGACATATTTTTCACTTCGCGTGCTTAATACAGTGGCTAAAAAGGTAAATATTTGATACTATATCAAACATTTCTGCATTCTCTTGTAGTTCTCTTTTTTTTTGCCTATTATTCAAAGAAGCTTTTTTATAATTTTTGAAAATGTTTTATATTGCTTGCACATGAATGTGTTTAGCTTGATTTGTGACATTGTTGCAGATCAAAGACCTGCCCACAATGTCGGGACAGGACAACGGAGCAGACGATACGCAGGATATATTTCAATTTTTCAAACAGCGACAGTATCGCAGAAGATGCTGCATCACTGCAGAACAGAATTGACACGCTGATTCTTATACTAAAGTTGAAAGATGAAATTCGCAAACTCACAGAGGAAAATGGAAAATTGGAAACACAATATTACAGGAAAGAGAATGAACATCTGAAGAAAAATATTCAACATTTGGAAAAGTATGTTTTTTTCATAGTATTTTGTTATATAAGTTTTAAATATATACGAGTAATTTTCAAGTTTGTATTTAATCTTGCAATTAAATGTTATCTTATAGCGTACAAGCATCCATTGTCATCAAACGTGACATGTGAATGTATCATAGATTTAATTATTAAATTTTCCAGGGAATTGGAACACATGTCTAATAAGAGCAGAGAGGTTAGAGAGAAATATGAAAAATTACAGCAAGAATATACGCGTGTCTCTACAGAAAACAAGGTTATAAATCCAGTAAGTAAACTATAACTTATTGCGTTTAACTAAAATGTTTTATTTTGAATCATTTTGAATATCAGTATTATAAATTATTATTTCTTGTGCAGGATAGTACCGAGAATACTCCACAGAGCATAAAATCGCAAGGTTTCTTTTCGATGAGAGATAACGATATAAAAAGACAGAAATCTAATAACAGTTTGAAAGAAACTTCGATACTTGCGAAAAAATCGAAATTTTATCAACCGGATCAAGTGAGTCACTTTACACTTGTATTTAATATATTGTTATCTATATGTGTCACATAATGTTCTCATATTTATTTCAGAAAACTGCCAGTGGCAGTGGTATGAGTTTTGATGGCTTCAGAGGACATGCTAGGTACGATAAATTTCCTAATCCGATTCCCAGTTCACATGTAAAAAAAACCAGAAAGGACTTAAGAATGAAAAAACCGAAACTTGATACGGGTGAATCAGAAACTCAGTGATATACTGCATCATGTACGATGTATAATGATATAATGATATAGCATGGTGCCTTTTTTTTATTGTGGGTGAAATATCTTCCACTACAGGGATACTCCAGGGACGTTTCCGCCCTTGAGCCTGTCCTGTAGCCCCCCTAGTCGGGGGGAAGACCCCTCCGCCTCTGAGGAGAGGCAGAGGGAGTGCCGGATTCCATGTGCGTGTATCGCGGAAGATACCACGCACATGGCCTACCGGCTAAAAACACCCACGAGTCCCTCGCGACGCTTGAGAGGGGAACCCGGGAATTGTTATTAGCATACATCCAGAGAACCCCCTACAGCATGGTGTCTAAATTAAACAAAATAAAAATTATAATAAATTAAATATAAAATCCAAGGTATGAAAAGACGACTTTCAACCTGGAACTAGAATTGCGTTATTTATTATTACGTTTAAGGAAAAGAGATTAGATAATTGTAAATTTTAAATTCTTGATTGTAAAATATAAACGGCCATATTTTTGTATCAAATTTAATTTTGTAATAAATATTCTCTTTGTACTATGTATTATTCTACTGATTATTAAAATAATTATTTTTAATCCTACCTAATCCAACCTAATGCGTGTACATACATTATTATTTCCTAGATATATAAATATATATAATCGATTGTTACTTTATCTTTTGTAATTTAATAAAAAAAATATATAAAATAATTTTTTACTCGAGTGTGTATATATGTATGTATATATCATAAATCAATTGTAATTATAATTTCTTATATAACAAAATAAGTTAGCAATAAGCGCGATTTATATCGCTTACAAGTGTTAACTGTTGAACGCTAAATCGAGTTGTATTGGAAGTTTATTATGCTGTAATGTATTTATGCAATATATTTATGCAATAATACCTATACATATATATATTTACAAGACGTGACGAGTGAAATAGTAAAATATAATTCAATTATAAAATTGTATCGTAACATATAATATGATTCCTAAAACAAAATTGTAAAGAAATTTTTGCTTTAATTTCTTTTATAATTGAAAATTTTCCTTACATAAAGGAAAGTACTAAAACGAATCGGTGTCGGAGAGTTAATGCGCGACAAGTTTTGCTAAATTATAATTAATTTTAAATTGGAACGTAGTGTGTGCGATGTCTGATGGCATTTTGAAAAACACATGTATAAATTCTTGCGGTGTAATGTTGCCTGTGCCAGAGAGGTCCATTTTTTGCAATATCTAAAACAATATAAGACCATTGAACATAATCGTATATTTATTATACAGTGTCGATTGCGATTTCTACAAAATGTAAGAATTAAAAGGAATTAATAGAAACTCTCCCAATTTATGTACATATATACTATATAATAAATTAAATCTATTGAGAAATGTGTGCGCGTGTATGTGTATACTATCTTGTTGAAAAGAGGTGTATTATTAAAAAACAAAAGTTTTGTAATTCAACAGTAGAATATAAAAACAACTGTTCCTAAGCAGCTTTGCAGCTCTAAGCAAGCCTGAAAAAGCTGCTTAGAAAAGGTTATCCCAAATTTTAGCCAAATTAAT